TTTTAGCCTACTTCTTATTCAGCCTTTCATCTTTTTTTTTTTAAATTGTCACGTTTATGTACAGAGAGGTTACAGTTACATAAGTAAGGCAATAAGTACATTTCTTACCAAACGTTACCCCTTCCCTCATTTTCTCTCCTACTTTCCCTCCCCCTCTCAGCCTTTCATGTTTACTTTCATGCACCCATGCTCTTCGGAGCCAGATTCACAGAGGGGTCTCTGGGTTGAAATGAGTGTGGGGACGCCTTGTCTGGACCAGCAGTGGAAAGGTAGCAGGGTCTGGCAAGTTGATTGCATGTGGGGATGTTTCTCCACATAGTGTTTTGTAAAAGTGGAATTAATTGCTAATGAACATAAAATTGGGAGATTTCACCTCAACATTAGGATTTCTGCCATCTTGGGGAATAAACAAAAACAAACAAAAAACATAGGACAGCTGTCAATCTGGGGCCTGAATTCCCTTGCTCCATGGATCCGTGAACCAAATTGTGTCTCCGCATGCATCTCTCCTTTCCGTGGCAGGCCCTTATTTGCTCCATCCTTGTGGCCTGGGTAACCGATTGAGTTAGAGACCTCTAGCTCTTCTCCTTGCCTGGCATCCTTTCTTTCAAGTTATTTAAGTCTTGAGTTGTGATGGGTGATGTCAAGATATCAGAGTCAAAAGGTAAGGAAGTGGCAAGTGAGGTGTTCCATCCACTGAAGAATGGCCTTGTACACGCTGCTTAGGCTGGTCCCGAGGACTTAGCTCTCCAGTCAGGCTCTGAGGACCTCCATCAGCCCTGGAGACCTTCGTGAGCTCCATCACTGGAAGATGGAGGCCACATATTACAAGTGTTAGAATGTAGAGTCTATCCTTAAGCAGATCCATACTCTGATCTTAAGCCACACTGGCCTCTGAAGGCTCTCCTGAGTAGAACCTGGAATCTGCTGTTGGATAGAAGTAAGCAGTCTGGACACAGGCTCTGTCCTTATTTTCCAATCCCAAGCAAACCTAGGCTGGGCATCTGAAAGATCACCCAAATATGTTGTTGCCATTTTGGTACCTGGCAGAATATTGTTTGTAATTGTCCAAACTATGGCAAATGACTTTGAAATCCCTTGAGTCCCAGCAGAGTCCTGCTGGCTGCTGCTTGTGTCTGGAGCATCTCACCATCTGTCTCCATTCAAAGATAGCCTTGCATGGGGGGGATGGAGAAGGAACAGACAGGAAATTCTTCTTATAAATGCCGTCCCTTCTGCTGCAGCTGCAGCTCATTTCCTCATGCTGCAAGCCGTGGCGATGAGAAGGCAGCTGCCGTGGCCCTACCTGTCATCCTGTCACGTGGACGCTGTGTCCCCCCCCCCTCCACCCCAGTGGTCCCCACGTCAGGCTTTATGCTTCCTATGGCACTGATGTTTGGCCGTGACCGTTCTTCCTAGGAGCTGGCTTCCTGGCAGTGTAGCTTGAAAGGTCATCTCCAATAGCTCTCCCGGCAGCTTGTGTGTTGTTGGCATACAGAAGGGTCCATGCTAAGTCCCCAAGAATACTTAAAAATAAATTCAGGTCACGGTGCCACACTGCAAGCCTTACGCTGCCAGGGTGCTGGTTCCTTACCTGGGGTGTAGGGGGCAGTCTGAGACCCGAAGCCACTCTCGTGCTCCTATTTCTTGATTTTATTCTCATGGGTCACAGTCACCAATAAATGTTCCTGCTTCTACCCTGGGAATGCATTTTCTATCCTGTAGCTTAAGCCACACTCATCTGGACCACTGGATGTGCTGGTCTCAGTCATGCTGGTTTGATGATAGGGCGTTGGCAGGTGAGGAAGGGGCTGGAATGTCTGACAGATCACCCTGTTCAGCCTCCCTGTTCTTCGTCTTGGCCTGTTCTCTGAGTCAGCCATAGGCAGTGTTTATTAGAAAGCTCTGAAAGTGACACTCGTTTTTAATAGCAGAGTGGATGGGAATCCAGGAAATACAAACACCTCCTAATGAAGACAAGGGGCTGTTTCACTGATCTGGTCTGTGTGTGTGTTGGGAGGTAGGGTGAAGGGGGGGGAGGGGCCTGAAATTGTCACTAAACCCTGGCTGTATCACACTTTTAGAGAGTAACTAAGCTAGTTCACTTGTAGTAGATCTGACCCTTGGTCACTTATGACTAGGGACAGGTTTCATTTCAGGCAAAGTCACGCTTGCACTTGGCTCCATCCCTGGTGGGTTTGTGTGGCTCTGGGTGGCTCACCTAACCTATCTGTCCCAGGCCTTCTTATCTGAAATCTCCATGGAGTAACAACTCTTCCTAGCGTATTACAAGCACCTCCTGTAATGTTTAAGTTCCTGAAACTGAGTGTCACCCACTAAGACCCTTTCTGGTCTTGTCCCCTCTCCTCTTTTGATACGTTTCGTAACAGATTTATACTACGTGCTCTTTTTGTTAAAATGGAGGCTGTGGTGGTTTTGGATCACAGGCTCCGTGCATGGACACACTTAGAAGCACTGAGTGGGTAAACAGGTGGAAGAATGCACAGTAGATTTGGGGGGAATCATAGTGGTTTCCCCTGTCCCTCCTTACTGTGTTGTCCTATCAGAGCTCCTTGATGGGCTTAGAGTGGTTCCCATATACTGAGCTACCGTGTGCATTTCCATGCAGATTCTCCTGTGAGCTGGGGGTCTGCTGTGTCCAAGGATAAACTCAAGGCTGCTTGGGTTTGGATAAGTTCCCATAGGCTCATGTATTGAAGATGTAGTCCCCACCTATGGAACTATTGGGGGATGGTGGAATCCTGAAGAGGTGAGGTTTAAGGGGCGGTTTTAGTTCACTGGGGGCGTGTCCATGGACGGGATGGTGAGACTCCAGTATTGTTCTTCCTCTTCTTTTCTTCCTGGCCACCATGAGATGGTGTGTGTCCATTATGAAGAGCTGCCTATCAAGAGATCCAAGAGCAATAGGGACAATCGATGATGGACTGAAACCTTGAAAACTCTGAACAAAATAAACCTTTCTTCTTTATAAGTCGGCTATCACAGGTATTTTGCTATAGTGACAGAAAATTAGCACAAAGACATAGCAGGGGAAAAGAATAAGTGTATTAATAGATTTCACTTCTTTCCAGATGTTAGTAAAATAAAAGTAATGGAATCACTACTACCTATTCAGTGTTTTGATTCCATAGTTTCACACACTCGGACTTCTGTTCAGGAATGAGGTTTTTGTAAGAGAGTTTTGGAATTTAACTGGAAGGAACAACATCATTTACATCTTCACTCATTTATTTTCTTCCTTGGGAAAAACAGCCACCATGAACTTCCCTTTTCAGTTTCTGAATATCTTGTTTTGCTTCTATGCATCTTTTGGTCATTGTGAGATTTGGATTTCTGGGGAAGATCCCTGCTGAAGTTTCATAGGTGAGGAACAGTGTAAGACAGCTACCGACAAGTGGTCTCTTGCTCACTTTAAACGCCCAGGAAGTGACTGGTGTCTTTGTGCATGGCCTACTGCATCAGGCCACTTACCTGTAGTTTCTCCATCACCTGGTTCACAGAACCTTACGTTCCAGTTGGGAGGCAATGCTTTGTGGACTTCAATCTGTGCACATAGTCTAATACCATGCTTTTTGTCTCCAAAAAGGACATTCATATTTTCATGCTTTGAAAATTATCAAGTTTATCTTCTTCATTCATGCCATGAATTTGTTCAATGAGTTCCCTCACAAGTTGTCTGGATGCCCCAGAGGTGCAGGGAGTGCAGGAGGGACTGAGTAGAATCTGTTAGACTCATTTGTGTGCATTCCATTCAGAATTTTTATGCAGTATTAAGGTCACATGCTGATCACCGGATTGTGAAGTGGCTCCTCCTCCTCTTCCATGGGAAACACATTCCATGTGTCTTTTTCTTTTCTCTTTTTCTTTTTTCTTTCATTTTTTGTTGATCATAGAGTCTGAACTGTAGGCCTGGGCACTGTCCCTCAGCTCTTCAGCTCAAGGCTAGCACTCTACCACTTGAGCCACAGCGCCACTTCTGGATTTTTTTTTCTGCTTATGTGGTGCTGAGGAATGGAACCCAGGGCCTCATGCATGCAAGGCAAGCGCTTTACCACTGAGCCACCTTCCCAGCCCCTCCACATGTATTTTTCTTAAATGATATTAAATGGAAGGTTTCTCTTTCTTTCTCTTTTAGGCTACTTTTTTTTCTTTTCTAACTGGCTTCACATCATTGAGTATTTGTTTTCAGAGCAAATCTTCTGAAAGTGTCTAGCTGTTGCATGAATACTTCACATCTGTCTCTGGTGTTCCACATGACCATATCCATTACATAGTCAGTCGGCATGTTTTGTCTGAAACAATATTATCTATCACCTTGGTTTAGAACCTTATAACAGAAGACTATACAACTGAAGATATTATGATTGTTTCTTTACTTTTTTTCTTCTGGTATAAAATATAGAAACATTTCAATCAATATGAGGTTCACTTCCCCAACATTTACAATGGTTGTGTTCCTGGCTTACTTTCTTTTTGGAAATGAGCAGGTCTGCTTATCTCAGTCATGTGGATGCAAAGGCTGTTCTTCCTTATCCTGATATGTATGCTGTTCTTTTCCGAGGTGTGCAGACTGTCCAGCTTGCCGTGCAAAATGCTCAGTATTCCACTTACCATGCAAAAGCTCAGTACTCACTGAATATACAAATGGCCCTGGGGCTATGTGAATCTCTCAGCACTGGCATATCAGAGTAACCGAGGCAGAGAAGGAGAGAATTTGATTTGTTTCTCGTTTGGTTTAAATTTGCCACCCGCGGTTATCCAAAATACACAAAACTTTGTGGGTTTCATCTGTTTGTTTTGTTCTCATACTGTACCGATGTGCAAACATGACTACACTTAAAGTCTTCTGGAGCAGACAGATTAAATGTCATTTGGCTTTTGGTTTTTGTGCTAACCCTATCCGAGAACATTCAAAAACTTCTCCCCCACCCCTGCCATTACCGTAAGTTGATAGTTGCACTGTTTGCATAGTTGACCACCCACTGAAGCCAAGACACGTGAGACTGCTGTCCACTAAAATGGGTCTGAAAGTCACGTGGGACCCACCCAAAGATGCCACCGGTAGACCCGTGGAGCATTACAACATTGCCTATGGGGAGTCACTGAAAAGTCTTAAGTACATCAAGGTGAATGCGGAGACATGCTCCTTCCTTATTGAGGATGTGGGTAAGTGACGCCACGCCCCTGTGCCCAGCCCAGTTCCCGCAGGGAGGCCAGCGCAGGGCACCTGGTGCTCTTTGGAAATGAGAAGTCAAGATCTGAGGCTCTCGCCCTGAGGCTGCTGTCAAACTGGTGTCATATTGTCCCTCCACGCATTTGTCCCACCTTCCCCTCCATGCAGTCAAACTCAAACATTCTTCTCTCCACACCGAAATAATATACACAGATCTATTAGAAAAAGTTAAATTTTGTCAAACTTATATATGCAAATGCTGTAAACCATACATGACACCCTTTTCAATAGAGCAAAACATAAACCAAATTAGGAATTCAGCCTTCAACCCTGACTGTGGGAAACTCACCACAGTGCCACTGTACTGGGTAATGCTGTAGCCACCTGCTGCCATGCGGTGTGAGACCTCCAGTGTTGTGAACACCCACATTCAGTGCTGCTGTAGGTGCTTGTCTCTACAGTGCATCTGCCTAGGGTACACGATGTCCCAGGAAAAGATCTCTCAACTAGGCTCAGGCCTGTAATCCCAGCTACTCAGGAGGCTAAAATCTGGGGCTCCTGGTTCAAAGCCAGCCCCAGAAGACAAATCTGAGAGACTCATATCTCCAACTAACCAGTAAAAAAACAAAAGTGGTAAAGCATCAGAACTTCAGTGAAAAAGCTAAAGGACAGTGCTCAGGCCCTGAGTTCAAGCCCCAGCAATACCATTTCCCCACACCTCACCCCCGCCTCGCTCACACACACACACACACACACACACACACACACACACACACACATACAGAGTGACCTGTCCTAGTTCTTGCTTCTCTTTTACCCTGTACATGTGCATAGCACACAACTATGTGTTATTTGATTGCTTATGTGTCTGTAAGCTTCTGGTTAATGGCAGGCTCTTAGTACTTAAAAGGCACAATTAAATTAGATTTTTTTTTGGGGGGTCTGGTCGTGGGGCCTGAACTCTGGGCCTGGGCGCTGTCCCTCAGCTCTTCAGCTCAAGGCTAGCACTCTACCACTTAAGCCACAGCGCCACTTCTGGCTTTTTTTCTTTTTGCTTATGTGGTGCTGAGGAATCGAACTCAGGGCCTCAGGCATGCAAGGCAAGCGCTCTACCACTGAGCCACCTTCCCAGCGCCAGATTTTTTTTTTTATTGCATGAGCTCCTAACACCCCAGTTACTCAAGGTCCAACTTTAATATGCTTCATAAAAGTAGTTGTAGAGGCTGGGTATTGGTGGCTTATGCCTGTAATTCCAGCTACTCAAGAGACTGAACTCTGAGAATTGTGATTTGAAACCAGCCCGAGCAGGAATGCCCATGAGACTCTTCAATTAAGCTTGCGTACACACACACACACACACACACACACACACACACACACACACACACACACACACACACACACACACACACACACACGCACGCCAGAAGTGGAGCTGTGGCTCAAGTGGTAGAGCATTAGCCTTAAATGCTCAGGAACAGTGCTCAGTCCCCAAGTTTAAGCCCCATGGCTGGCACACAAAAAAATGTATATAGAAGGTCATATTTAGCTATGACATGCCACATTTTCACTCATTTCAATTTTAGCTTAATTTGATTCTGGAGGTTGGAAACATCTTAAATTCTGCCTCAATGTATATTGTCTGATAAGGACAGATGTAAGTGGTGGTAGGCTTTGTTGTAAAGCTGCCTCCTCTGTATCTTCTTTCTTCTATGGAAGATTCCGGTGGTCTGACACTCCATTGGTTTGACCTTCAGGATCTAGCCTTGACACTGATGAAATGTAACCAAAAGTAATCTAGCTAGCATAGAGAAAACCCAGTGTCTACTAAGTCAAGTTTGCCTTCTGATCCTGGAACAAATCATAATAAACTCGTAGCTCCCAGCATGGGACCTCTACCTACTTACTCTCCTCACGTCCTGTAGTGATACATTATGTTTTCTGAGTACAAGAGCACAACACTATGGTCCCCAAAAGTCCAGCTGTGAAGTTAACGAGAGATCCTAGCAGACCAAAGGCCTGCGCAAGTCATATTTGCTCTAACTATGGGTTTTTATGATTGCTGCAGAGAAGAAAAACACATGAAAGAGCCACACATTCACAACAAACTAAATAGTACCTCCCAGGCGACTTTCTGTTGTGTTAACTCAGGGCCTCAGAGACATGTGCACCACATTTCTTGGCAATACAAGTAAGCTCAGAGTAACGCTGTGCCTGGGGAGGCGAGCTTTTGCATTCTGTCAGAACCTGGATCATTTTCCCATGAGTGGAGCAGGTTGTGCCAGACCCCAAATACCACGAGGCCTTTGCTATATTCAGAGAGAGAGGTCACACCAGTCTTCAGGACAGCAGGTGTCCAGAGGATGGCAGCTCAGTCGCTGGTCCTGAGCACAATGCTGGTTTGAGAACTGAGTGAGTTTCTGTTAATGAAATGCTCCTCACTTTGAGAGATGTCACAGTCAGGAGCGCCTTCGGTAGAACAGCCCTTTCTCCCCTGCAGTGCCCACAGACTTCCATTCTCCATGAATTGGCACCTGGACTTACTGGTCACAAGATAAGAACTCATGTTTTGAGGAAAGCCAGTTTTTGTCTGGAAATCTGTAAATTCAGGTGCATTCTCTTTGTAGCATGGTCTCTGGGTTGATGGTGTAGCCCAGCTGTAGATCAAAAGTTATGAAGCAAAAGCCTCATTATTTCCAGATTAGCAGTTCCAAGACTTCAGGTCTAGCTTTGTGTTAAAATGGCCCAGACCAACATGTAGACATAGCTTAGGAAACACTTCACTGTGAATAATTTTTTTTGGTGAAGCTTTATGTAGTATAACCAAGAATTTCCCATATGTTACATTTTAAATTGCCTTTATTTCCTCCTGCCCCTGGAGATCCATTTGGAACATCCATGTGGAAATATTTGTAGTTTCTGACACTGTTAGTCCAGATACCAATTAGTAGACTGTGACTTCCTAATTCCTATACTGATCTTACATTAAAAACTTTAAAAGCCCCTTTTATTGACTGCATAAGAATCCAGATTTATTTCATAAGGCCTGTAACTTGTGCTAACGATAGGATTCTTTGGATTGGGTGTGTTTCAGATGCACGAGAAGATGGCAAAGGGTTTTAATAAAAGTCACACAGAAGGCCATTAGACTTGTCACCTAATTTAGGTTTTTATATTTGGTTATAATTGACCTTGGGGAGGTAGTTAGTGACTCAAAGTGTGTCATTCTTGGAGATTTTTGATGGTGGCTTGACATAAACCATGTGTTTCAGAGCCGGGGGTAGTGTACTTTGTGCTGGTTACTGCAGAAAACCACAGTGGAGTGAGCCGTCCTGTTTACAGAGCTGAAAGCCCACCCGGTAAGTCTGACCTAGAATTTCAGACTACTCAGGTTAGGAGAGACCTCTCCCCCACCCTCATCTTGCTTTTTCCTGTCACTACTGTAAATTTAGAATTGTTAGGATTTCTGAATCCTAATAGATTTCTGAATCCTTTTAGATTCCTATAGCAAGTAAAATATGGAAAACTAGAAGAGACTCACCCCTTTTAAAAGACAAAACAAAGTTACAACAACAAAACCCAGTAGTTTTATTAGAATTTAGTCCATATTTTTCCAAACATGCAGATAAAAAAATAAACCATGAGCAGAAGACTCCACATATATATTGTCCTTATAGTTTAGGTATGGAGTCACTGTTGTGGCCAGAGAAATCCTTGTGAAGACTGTCGAAAAGAACCTTGAACTACTCATTACGGATGTAGCGAAATATGGACAATCCAGTAGACCGTGTCTCTAACTATGCAGTTGCATTTCCCTAATTTAGGAGGTGAATGGATCAAGATTGATGATTTTCCCATTAAGGGTCCAGGACCGTTTAATGAGACCGGCACAGGTACTACTCGCTCGTTGGTTCGTGTCTTCACTGAAGTAACAGCTCACAAGAGGGTTGTGCTTCTGTCATACACATGTGCTCACAAACCTTCACCTCATTCCCATCGCTAACTAACACACGTGCCGTCCAATCTCAGTCCATCGCCTCTGCGCCCCACAACCCAGACTGCAGCCAGTGTTGCTTGTTGTTTGTTGTTCTTTCATGTCCTGGCAGGGTGGTTGCAGGAGGAAGAGCATCTGTGTGCTCATCTGGGGACACTGTCACCTTGTTGATAGGCAAATATGGTGACTGAGGTGGTCGTACTGGCCCCATTAGGCTTTCCTGTGAGTGGCAGAAATGCCTGCGATTCTCCAAACTGTGGGTGGCATTGGCTACTTAATGTTGCCTCAGTCTCATTCTCTTTTCTGATCACCTTAGGATGATTTGTGACGTTAGATAACCTACTTTCCATCTCAGCTCCATATTTGTATATGTGTATGTTGTATTGTGTGGTGTGTCTGGTCATATTATTCTAGTTTCTTGGACATTTTTAATTGATGGTAAAAAAAAATCCAATACCTAGTGAATGCACTTTTTTCAGAATGTGGTTGGACAATGTCCCTAAGGCAATATGGCAGGGAGCTATGGTTTATTTCAACATACTATGTGGTTGAAAACATCTACCAGGTGTTACTGTTGGGAGGAAGGTGAGTATGTTGATGTGAACAACTGTAATAGGTTTCCAAACTCCGTTTGGCTCTGGCTCTATGTGACAAAGGACTGGAAGAACAAAGCAATCCACAGAAGAACCTGGGCTGTCTGTTATGTTCGATGTGGGGGTCACTGTAGGTGATTGGAGATGAAGGAATGGAAGTTGGAAGAGGAGATTAAGAGGTAAACATGATTTAGGAGCCATTTGAAGTGCAGAGAATGAGTGGATAGGAAAGGATGGATGGAAGAGAGGGAAGAGGAGGCCAACAATCAAACCAAGAAAACAGACAAGTGTAGTAGTAATGTTCCCTTATCTGTAGGGTATGCTCTAAGACCTGCAGGGCTTACTGGAAACTGCAGATAATACTGAATTCTCTATAGACCATCTTTTCCCTATGCATACCTACATATATGTGACAAATTTTCACTTACAAATTAGACACAAGATTAACAGCAATAAATAGTAACAAAACAGTAACATCCATGTAATTGTGATCTCTCTCTTATCTCTCTTCCTCTCATTTAAAATAGCCTATGTTACGGTATTTGCCCTTCTTGTGATGGTGTGAGAGGCTACAAAGCCAACATGTTTAGGTGAAGTAAGGTGATGCATGCATGGTGGCAAGCGTTACTTGGACAAGCACACCGTGAGACTGCAGCAGTCCATGTGATGACCCTGAAGGTTGTGAGGCGACTAATGAGAGCGTAGTGTATACACCGTGGATCCTTGGACAAAGACACGGTCCTGAGCTGGGGAGGTGGAATGCCCTGATCCTCCATCATGCCTTGCAGAATTGTAGGCCATTTTAAACTTCTGAAATGCTTATTTCAGAGATTTCCAATTGAGTATTTCTGGGCTACAGTTGACAATGCTGAACTGAAACTTGGAAAGGTGGAACTGGTGAAGGGGAGACTATGTAGACTTAGGATCTGTGCAGTGGGAAAGGGTGTTTATCTCGGTGTTTACTCCGGCACACACACACGACATGAGACATGTAAACACCTTACTGACAGATGTGTACGTCTTGTGCTTGAATCTCATATTTTGTATTTTAAATGACTGTTTTGTTCTTATGATCTTCCTGATAGTAGTAAATGATAGTAGTTTTAGAACAAGTAATTTTCTCATTTTTGTGTAGGTCATTCATTTCTGATGCTTTAAGAGAAACTTGTGAGTGCGTATACCTTGTACATGCATGTGTGTGCACATGTGTGTACATGTGATCTCTTTGAGTAAGAAAATTTACAGAAATGTAGGTTGGGAGTTGGAGAGAGCCATGTCCCAGCTCATTACTGACTTTATGTGCTATGAGGCTTTTAACCTCTCTCTGCAGGTGCTTTGTCGGCATTGTTTGCTAAGGCACTATGTTTGCCCCATATCAGGATTTAAATAATACACTAGAAGAAAATGCTAGCAATATCTGATACCAGTCAGAACTTTAAAAATAAAACAAGCCAGGCACTAGTAGGCTGAGGTCTGAGGATTGTGGTTCCTCAAAGCCAGCCAGGACAGGAAAGTCTGTGAGACCCTTATTTCAATGAACCACTGGAAAACCGAAAGTGGCACTGTGGCTCAAAGTGGTAAATAAATGAATGTATGAATAAATAAATAAAACAACTCATGAACATGTATAGACTTAAAGTACTCTGGGTAAAAAAAAGTATTGCATTTCATTATGAATGAAAATAGTAAGAATGTATCAGAAATTATCAACGTAACATATATCTCTCCCTAGAGATCCACATGTAACTACCTTTAAAAAAACACTTGGATTCTTGTTCTGGAAATGGTTTCATAGATGACAATTTTGTTGAACAAAAGAAGCATTCAGATTTGCACATCTCCTTTCCCAGGAAGGAATTTACCCTAAAAACTGCCACGTCAGCACTGGCACTGGGCCTTAGGCCTGGCCGCGTCTCTGCCTCAGCAGATGGCATCTCTTGTTCTGCCAGGGATTTCTTTGAAACCAGGGGAGAACTCATTCTTTCACTGTGCCGGAAACAATGGTTCCCATTCACATTCCACCAGGCCTCCTTTTCTTGGCTTTGACCTATTTGGAACGAACTTTCTTAACCTAAAAATAGAATCTCAGTTATGTACTTACTTCCTTGTGCACTGATACCAGGGGAACTTACAGTCAAGGACCTGCTCGAACAACACTGAAGAGGCAAGAAAACCAGCTAAACAAGGAAGCAAAGAAGAATGCATGTGGCCTACTAGTTTGCTAGGGTTTCCATAACAATATACCACAGAGTAGGGGGAAGGGAGGAGTTTAGACAACAGAAATTTATTTCTCGTGGCCAGTGGTTCGGATCTCCTGGGACCGCTCTCCTTGGCATGCACATGGCTGCCTCTCTCCTTGTCCCTCACACAACGCTGAGATAGTGATCAGTGTCTCTGGGTATCCAGATTTCCTCTTTGTATAAGGATATCATTAATTAGCTCAGGACTCACACTCATCATTTAAACTTAATTACCTTTTTGTTTTTTGCCAGTCCTGAAGCTTGAACATTGGGCCTGGGCGCTGTCCCTGAGCTTCTTTTGCTCAAGGCTAGAGCTCTACCATTTGAGCCACAGCACCCTTCTGGCTTTTCTGAGTAGTTTATTGGAGATAAGAGTCTCATGGACTTTTTTGCCTGGGTTAGCTTCGAACCACAATCCTTAGCCCCCTAGGTGTGAGCCACTGGTACTCAGCTACTTAATTACCTCTTTCCCAAAGCCCCATTCTGAGACAAGAAGATGAATACTTTAGCATATGAAATTTTGTGTGATCACAATTCACCTGAGAACATAACCACAGATATGTTTGAAATATAACTTGCACTGTGACATAGATAGCTGGTGGGAAATGTGGGGATTTGGAATCCTGATGGTGATGAAGTATGCCAAGGAAAACATGCCAGGACCCTAGAGGTCAGGAGGGAAGAGACTCCAAAACAAGAACCCTGGATTCAGAAGTGATAGACTAAGCAAAAAACGCAACCCCAGGGCAGAAGTCACAGCTTCCTCTCCTGCAGCTTACTCCGTCTGAAAGTCTTCTTTGTGTTGGTGTGGAATCCCTCTCTCTCTTTTCATCAGTATCATTTAAAAACATTTTTAATTGTAAAGATACTGTACAGAGGGGTTACAGTTACATGAGTAAGGTGATGAGTACATTTCCTATGGAGCATTGTTACCCCTTCCTTTGTTTTTCCCCTACCATCCCTTCCCTCTCCACCTCCCCCAGTGCCTCCCTCCCCTCCCCTAAGTTGTAAAGTTTGTTTTCAACATAGTGTCTTGTATGTCTCATTGTTACATGTGGAATTCCTCTCTCTTATCACTGGAGTGTAAACCTGTAGCCTCCTGTCCCCAGGGAAGAGATGGTTCCAGTCTCTTCACTTTTTGGCATACTATCACCTAGCATTTCTACAGACTTCTGCTAACTGTTTTAATTTTATTTATTTATTGAATTTTATTTTATTTTGGGGGCCAGGCCTTGGGTTAGCTTAGCTGAGCAGTCAGGCCCTAGGAGCCTGGACAGGAACGTGAGCCACAGTCTCAACTGGTTTGGTTATCCTGCATTTGCCAAAATGTCTTCTTGAAAACCATATTTGAGTCTGGTTGCTTTTAGCTCCAACTATGTTCACATCTATTTTTAATAATGTTTATAGTTGTCTAAAGTTCTAGCTGTCTGTGCTTTTCTCAAGCTGCGTGACTAAACCAGATGAAGTATAGAAAGAAATCTAGATTCTGTTCCTTACTTCCTTTATACCATTGCATTTTAGTTATGAAAGAGCCTCTTTTTCCTTTTTACATAAACAGTAACTTCAAGTTCAACATAAACTGAAGTTCACAATGACTCCTTGGCCATTTCCAGGCAGTAGCAATGGGCTGCTCACCCAGGGCCCAGCACTTCTTCCTCATACAACCACCCCCTGGTCTCCAGGCAGCTCCCTCCATCTAGTAGCATGTGGACACTTGGCCTGTGATTGTCTCCACATACCGGACATCCTGGGCCTTGCCAGTCTCCATGACAGGTGGCCCATTAGGTGGCCCTAATAGTTTCCAACTACAATCTCCTCTTAGAGTTGCTCCTCCATACCCAGAATTCTGAATTCCCTGACGTCTTTCTTCTATCCATCACCTCATGCACTTGTTTTTAGATCCTTAATCCTCCTGGAGGTAAGGTGGAGGGTATATTTTCACAGGACCAAGTGATTCTGATGAACACTGATCTTTGAGCTCCTTGGCTGTGGTATAAGTGTGCAGACTTCCTCCTGCCCTGAGCTCAGGGTCCACAGCTATGTTTAAGGCCGATGTTAGGGACACATTGGGTAGCTGTTTGCAGCAAAGAATGAGCACCAAGGTCTGTGATCACATAGGCCTGCTCATGCAGCCTGTGGAGATGGGGGGAGGGCCACCAGTGTGAGCCTTTGTGACCAGCATGGTGGGTCCTCAGGCTGGTTGGCGGGATGATCCATGAACACTTCCATGCTATGCATTGAGTAACTGTCTTCTGGAGAAACATCCTGCTAGCCATGTCCTGAGACACCCAAAGAGGCCAGCAGACAGCAGCAGTGAGCCCTTTGTACCAGTGAAGAGTGGGCCCATGGAGTGACTGATCCCTATAGACACTTGTGAAATGGTAAATAACACTCCCAGTTCATGGTCATCTTGATATAGACAACTTCTTGTCTGAAAAGGTTTTCAATGATAGGGTATTTTTGGTAATAATTCCGCTCTTGCTCTCACTTGGTTTTCAGTGACCCCATGTACTGGACACTCTCATGTTCCAAAGGGAGCTTCTCACTTGGATGAGAGATCTAAGAAAAAAAGAGAGAGTCCATTATTATTATTATTATTATTGGTTGGTCGTGGGGCTTGAAATGGGATTCCATTTTTGTCATGACCACTGTGTTAGCTTCCCACCATGAACAAACACCAGATAATGAGGTTATGAAGGAAAAAGGTATATTTTGGACCACAGTTAGAGAGGTAGCATTCCATGATGAGTTGGCCCTGTTACATTAGACCCATGGCAGAGTAAAACTGCTTGCTTCATGGCTAGGTCACCCAGAGAATAAAAGAGGCTGTGGTGTTACTCTCCCTTTTATTGGTGAGACTTTAAGCATCCTATCAGCCTCCTCTAGGTCCCACTCCTTACAGCTTTTCTATACCTATCAGTAATACCACACCAGGGACCAATGGACTTTTGAGGGATCCTTAGGATCTAAACTGTGGCTTCCATAAACACTAGTGACACTAGATACTTTGCCTGGATTATATTCTCAAACCTGATGTGTTATATACTATTGTCCAGGCGAAACTGAAGTTCATGGAGATTGAGATAAGACAACACTGCATAATAGATTGGATATAGACTCTGAATTTAGATTCTGAATCAGCTCAACTTAAAAATGTTCACATTTAACTAACAGAATTAGAGGCGAAGCAACATGTTGAATTTTTTTTTTTTGGCATAAAGAATACATTTTTGATTCCGTATAGAATGTTTGATTCTATATGTTTTGATTCCATCCGAATGTTTGATAATTTGTGAGGCTGGTGAATCAGAAGAAACATCCCCCTCAGCCTGAATGGCTTTCTGGTCTACTTCAATCAGGTGGCGATTGCTTTTCCTGCTAGCCTGCCAGGTAGATGATGTGTAATAGATGCTACAGATCTTCTGTTCCCCACCAGCTCTAAGTATGCCTTACCTGGTTCTGTTGCACCAAGAACTGTCAGAGCAATGTGTTCTGCCAAGTTTGCAATACACTCAGCACTGGTGGATGGGAGCTTGATTGTTCTTGGCAGTTGTGACTTCCTGTTTTCAAGATAAAAGACCTACAGAGATTTATGAGAAAAATTTAGAAGGCTTTGGTGAGGCGGTCACATACAGCTTCGAGAAAACACTTCAACGGTTTAATTGCAAATGAATTTGAACCATCTGGAGAGTTTGCTTAAGTGAACATCAGCTGAAAAGGGGATCATAAAAGATTATCTAAAAAAGATGCCTGATGGTGTGTATTACTCAGAATTTTGAAGAAAGGAAAAATGTGGTTGGCCTTTCTAAATCCAAAGATCTGCAAGAGAGATCGAAGATTGTGTTTGATGGGTTTCATTCTCGCTTGGCTCTGTGGCTTCACCCACACAGTGAATTCCAGGTGGTCACAGGAGCAGCCTTTGAGAAGAGTCCTCCTCTTGTCCATTTTCTGCCTGCTGAGGAAACCAACTGGCTCATTGCGTTTAGTGCCTGCTGGATAGGCCAGAGTTTGCCCTCTGCAGGAAGCATGTCCAGACCCACATCCTTGTTGAGTCTCAGGGTCTCGGGTGGCTGGTGAGAGGGGTTGGTTTAAATGGAAGGGGAATTGTTATGAAGGTGCACATTGGGAAGCGGAATGGTTGCATTCAGGTTCCTGCTTCACTTCTGAGTGACGGATCCCTTTCCTCCTTGTCGTGGGGCTGCTTGCCGGAAGGGCAACTAGACAAATCGTCATTGTGAACAGCCAGTTCAATCTAGAAAAGGCTTGATACTGAGTTGTCAGAGGAAGCGTGACTCTCTTCCCTGCAGCTGTTCGGTGGCCTGGCAGCATCCTGAAGGTCCAGGGTGGAGTGGCTGGACACAAGCTGGTGCCCAAGGGTGTGGGAGATGTGCAGTCCCTTGGGGCAGCTCTGTCCTGCCACTGGGCAGGACCTAGTGTGCATCAGGACAGAGACCGGGGGAGGCACCTCAGCCATCTGTGACAAAGTTCCTTGCCCTTGGAATTCACTTCTTCCTCCTCAGTGATCTCATCTCTGCAGGGAGAGGGGCGGTATGCAAGGTCTTTTGGTACATCACCATTTTGATTCTGCAGTTTCCTGGCGAGCACCTAGGGCAGCCATCAGAATCATCCCCCAGGCTGGCAGTGCGAGAGCCCCGGGTGCACTCTCCTCTCAGATGCTTGCCTGGAGAGGACACGGAAATGACGCAGAGCTGTGGGCAAGCGCGCCATCTCTGTGCAGCAGTTCATTTTCTAGACTCGCTGGAGCTTGTGTGTATTTCATTTTGCTGAACTATTCCAGTGTGTCACACACAAAAACTTTCAAACAATCACCATTTTGTGTATTAGGGAAAATAACTATTGAAGCTCAGCTACTACTCCCCCAGTAGAAGTTAGGAATGAGGTGCCCAATAACAGAAGGGAAAACTCCCGCTGACCCATGAAAGGATATTTCTTTGGTTAGATCTATGACCTGGGGACTATGTGTCTGACACTTCAGGTAAATCAACTGCAATGGCTAATTATTTACATGTTACCGAGGTTCACACTCATTTGTGATATTCATTTTTGTTTTTAGGTCTTATTTAGCTTAGCTAGGAATTTTCTAGTCTGATAAAATTAGTCAGAAATGAGGATGGAGTTAGTGTACATAGTAAAGGAAGCAGCTGGCTTACATGACTGGAGAGAGAGTCATTCATCCAGTGGCCTCCTCAGATGAGGGCTAGATTGTAAAGGCAAGGTGGTAATAGTTGTTTCCAGCTCTTCCTTGATGCTAATTTAGATCTGTAAACACTAGGCAATGACCACCAGAGCACACTGCTACGAGAAATCTAACAACAGATGCATTTCCCGAGATCAGTCTGCAAGAGGATTTCTTATAGCTTGTTGGTTCACCAAGAAGAAAATAAGAAATACTGAAGACAGCATCTTGGTATGCTAGAGCCAGGGTTTGCCTGAAGGAGAGGCAGGACTGGCACATGGAAGAGAAGCTCAGACCCCACACAGCAGTCAGTTAGTACCAAGCTCTTAGCAGTTTAGTGCAAAGGCAAGGTGAGCCTGTGTTTCCAACACTGCAGTGATAAAACCCTTTGGAGGAGGGATCAAAATTAGCCCATAATGGGGCTCTGTATTTTTGTCTCGACATTTAGCTGTTGCCAGAGAATATATAGTTTGGGCCTACGTATTGGGGGGGGAGGGGCAAAAGGAAATAGATGAAAAGAGACATCGCGAAGCATCCAAGATTTTGGTCTGGCAGCCTCAACACATGGTATGTTTTCATTTTAAGTTCTTGAGACCTATTGGTTATAAAATGGGGAAGATAATCCTGCAGGGGAAATGAGCCTACTGGAACTGGTTACCGAGAATGGATGCTGAAGCCCAGCAGCTAATTGTTGAGGCTCAATGTTTGCATGGGCTTTGTGTACAAGAGGGCTAACCTCCACTCTGTGTACTGTTTGATGGCTTCTGTGTCATGTCCTCTTTAAGAAAAGGAAGTGCCCAACAAGCCCTTGCGCATGCGTGTCCGGTCTTCCGACGACAAGCTGTCCGTGGCGTGGAAGGCACCCCGCCTGTCTGGAGCCAAGAGTCCACGCAGGTCACGAGGGTTTCTTCTGGGCTATGGAGAAAGTGGCCGGAAGATGAATTACGTTCCACTCACCAGAGATGAGCGGACACACGAGATTAAAAAGCTAGGTGAGTTTAAGATTATTTGATATACATTCTTTGCTGAATTCTGTGATCATTTTGGTATCTAGAACTCACTGGTGCTAGAACACTATCTTAAGATGGAATATTCATTTTCCAGAGATGACAATGATTCAAGATGATACTCTTTTGTTCTTGTCTCTGTCAGAGCCTCCATCACTATAAGTTGTAGTTAGTGACAGGTCAAGGCTGCTTTCTGAGTTGCTGTCAGATTTCTAAGTCAGATCACTTTTTTCAGATACAACTGGGGACTAGTGCTTTACTGTCTTGGCTTTCCTTTCATCGTTGTGTTGTTTGAAGCTTTGTCTTTGAATTCCGGGGCCCTGAACCTTGAATCCCATGGAGATAAAGCATTGTGGCTGCTGAGTGAAGCTACAAAGCAGGCCTTCCTTCCTCCCTTTCTGAGCCCCTGCCTGGAAAAAAGAAGACTTTCACATAGAATGCTAATGAAAACATTTGCTGAGACCTGGAGACATTATGCGCATAGTCCAGTCTGGGATGTCTGTATTTATTGACAGGCCTAGATGGGGACACAGGCCACATTCTGAGAGAGTACCGCCTCCCTCTCAGGCTGGTGCTTCCCTGTGTCTGGAAACAAGGTCATGGTTTGCCCCACTTTCCTTCCCTCTATCTACTTGGTGAATTCAGAGGTTGGGTAAGCAAGGCTGGGTCTCTTCTCATGACCTTCTCCTGGAGGAAGCCTGGCTGCAGAGAGCCCAAGGGTTCAGCAAAGCTGTCTCATCCTGAGGCGTGTCCGCCATCTTGCCTTTTACAAGTAATAAATATTTAGGCTGGTATCTTCTGTCATTCAGTAGACAGGCAAGGGAGCAGCTCTGGTTTATTGGGCCTTCTTGGAAGACTCAGTAACACCTGGCAGTGTGTTTACTCACATGGGGTCTGGTATCTCTCAGCTTCCTCCACTTTGGTGGTGTGGGGGCTGGAGGTGGTGCTCACCTTCTGTCAGTGATGTGAAGTCTTGGGCTAGAAAGGAGGACCGACAGCCATGGGCCTGTGAGGAAGTGGGGTAACTGTGAGGAAGGCATCGCGGTGCTTGTTGCTTAGTGTTTTATTCTGGAATCTGGATAAGCATCTCCACAGTCCTTGGGATTCCCAAGGCTGCTTTTCTGAGCTGCACCACAAGTGCTGACCAGCATGGATTTGGCCTGGTGGAGATGGACAGAAACTAAAGTAATCTCCTTGCAGCAGCTAGAGGTGCCTGCTGCATTGCTGGTGTTCTGGCAGCTGCCAGCATCTGGACTAGCACTGCGGGCAGTTAGATGTACCTGGAAAGGTCAGCCACATGACATCCTTGTCTCCACATTGCCCCTGTGGAGAGGAGGATATAAGGCATCTCCAAGCCAGGTCATTTCAAGTACAGATTCTAGACTTCCTTCAGGAGAGAGACCAGCCATGTCTCTGTTGCTAAGCCATAGGAAATGAGAGGAGACATCTGGGCAGTCTGTGCCTTGTGAAGCTTGGTGTCAGTATTAGCAGCGAGACCTACTCTTAGAGACCCAGTTCCCTGAAGCTGCAGAGTCATTGGGAAGCGCATCAGCCCTTCGTTCCGGAGCTGCCTCTTTGATGTGGATTGGCTCTGTGTTGGTGAGGCAGGCCAAATTCTGCAGTAGGAGAAAAGAAGCCCTAATTTTGCATTCCTGATGTTTCAGGAGGGCATTTTTTTTTCAAAAGGAATGTTTTCATTGGGTGAGTCTCCATCTTAGCCGACTTAAAGGAAGACAGGTTGGTTTTGGCTTACCGTTTCAGAGGGCTTTCCGGTTTAGTCCCTCATGTGGGGAAGGCATGGTGGTGTAGGCCTGGAGAACCAGCTCACGTCCTGGTGGACAGGAAAGAGGGCTGATAGGAAGGGGCAGATAGAAACCCGGGAGAGGCTCCCAGTGACCTCCCTTCTCCAACTAGGCCCCATAGCCTCCTCTTCACGCCTCTCAACAATGTCTCAGATTCTGACTCCATCAGGGTGTCACCTGAGCCTCAGACTTACAGTTCCACAGTACTTAAGGGAAAGGGAACAAGTTCTGGTCTAGTATTGTAATGTTTTTCCAAATGCAATTTTGATTAAATTGGAGAGTAGTAGGATCTATCTCTGAGGGGGAGGGATGAGTAACTAACCAAAAGATGAATCTGGAATAAAGGATACATTTAACTCTCCCAGGCTCTCTTAGCAAAGCTGCAGAGACTCCATTTCGAGGATATGCATTGTGATGGACACGGTATCTGAGAAGATTACAAAGACGTTCTAAATTGCTGACGGGTGCCAGGGCTCCTTTCCTTTCCTCCTTTCCTTTTGATGGCAGATAGAATCACATTAACCTCCCTCTTTTCTTTGTAGGAAGTAAAAGGAAATTGGCTAAATATAGTTTTTAAGCATTCTTTACTTCTCTGATGTTGAAAAATAAGAAACTGATTTCTCCCCAGGAATTACCTAGGTAAAAGTGGAACCAAGTAGTGTTCTTTCTGAGTTTAGTTCCTGCAGTACTTGGACAGCTCTCTAGTTGTCTAAGGGGCTTGGAGAGACAGTCTCATGCCTTCTTTGGTCCACAGCCTCAGAGTCGGTGTATGTGGTCTCCCTGCAGTCCATGAACTCCCAGGGGCAGAGCCAGCCAGTCTATAGGGCTGCCCTCACGAAACGCAAGATTTCAGGTACGTTTCCCAGGATGCACTTTGGGAGGCCATGCTGTGTGTGCTGTGAGCTCCCTGCTGCTTCCTCATGCTGCTGGCAGTGGAGAACCACACCAGTCCCTGGGGGATGGGAGGGCAAGAGGGCAGAGCTGGCCGCATGCTGGGTATACGCTTCTTTCTTGCATACTCCGAGGCTGCAGCATTCTTATGATGGAATTGATTTCGCTCTGTATTTGAGGTGGCTTCACTGTGTGGTAGCTCTGCCACAAGAGGGAAAAGGAGGCACTACAGTATTTTTTTTTCTTTTTGTTGGTTATGGCGCTTGAACTCAGGGCCTGGGCACTGTCCCTGAGCTTTTGTGCTCGAGACTACGTTCTGATACTTGAGCCACAACTCCACTTCTGTTTTTTTCTGGTAGTTACTTGGAAATAAGAGTCTCATAGACTCCTCTAAACATTTGCTTTCCATGAAATGCTTATTGTTTCTTAGAACTTTACAGTGTCTGTTGAGCAAACCCTGAGTTGCTTATACCCCAGAACAGCACCTTCCTTGCGCTGGTCTATATGTCGATTGGGTCAAGCGGTGAACTGCCATTCCTTAGGTTGGGTTTACGAACAGGAGAGTCTGGTTTTCTACACTGACCAATCAAATAATTGCTCAGCTTTCTATTTACTTCATTATACTCACCTTAAGTACAAACAATCTAAACATGATACAGGATGAATTACAGGCTCAGAAAGCCAGAGGAAGTCAGGGCAAAGCCTGTCAGTAGAGACTCAGGTCTTCCGATGTCATTTCAGAAGAGGATGAACTGGATGTACCCAAAGACATCACTGTACGTGTTATGTCCTCTCAGTCTGTGCTGGTGGCCTGGGTGGATCCGATTTTGGAAAAGCAGAAGAAAGCTGTTGCATCCAGGTACTTTGGTTCATTCCTTCATCCTTGTGTGTGAGACATGGGCTTTCCTGGCCTAGGAGTAATGTGTATGTAATGATTCTATTCCTTATTTGACTGCTGGACCTTCTATAGCCGAATGGTGCACATGCTGTCCTGTGACACACTAGTTCCTGCAAACTGATGGTGCACACACTAAGACCTCACATCCCACTTACCTGGTTTACCCTGTGCCTGGAAATTTTGTGGATTCTGTCTCTTCCTTGCCCTGCTTGTGATTTAATTTTGTCTCATTGGTGTCCCGTTTTGGTGTGGCACATACTTTGGGAAGTGTCTTACTAAAAAGACAGCAGCAGGCTGGAATTTTATGTAGAATGGTGGTCATTTGTCCAATGCCTCACACCCAGACATTTGCCAAACATTATGTCTAGCCCATATCTAGCTCTAGTCTAGTCTAGCTTTTATATTCATTTGCAAAAACAAAGACAAAATAATCATAAGGTTAAATGAATTTGTGTATGTTTGTTTGCTAATGCATGTTTGCATGCTAGTGTATATGTGTATGCTAGTGTATATATGCTATTGTGTGTATATATGTGTATATGTTAGTGTGTAAGTGTGTGTGTACTAGTCTTGAGGCTTGATTTTAGGGTCTCTCACGCTTGTTTAGCTTTTTCATTCAAGGCTGGCATTCTACCACTTGAGCCACACCTCTACTTTTGACTTATTACTCTCTTGTGTTTGTTGCTTTGAGTCTCAGATCTCAGCCTTGAGATGCAAGGATTACAGGCAGGTTACTGGTGCCTGGCTGATTAAACTATTTTTTTTGCTAAAAGGCTACTGGTAAATATGTCTATCAAAAGTTCCCATGTCTAATCAAGGAGCAAATACTTTATATAACCAAAGGAGGGCCAAAATGTGGTGGACTACTGAAACTGAGTCTATCTGCTACCTGGAAAGGGAAATCTGAAATTAGTGGACTCCCATGCTTAGACTATGTATATGTATATGTATAAGTATACGTGTTTGTATGTCTACATATTGCACATCATATTATACACAGAATTTCCTTCACTACATCTTCATCTTTGAAAGACCTCAGAAGAATCACAGTGATCCTCTAGCCATATAGCTTTCACCAGCCCAAAGTGTTCCAGATTACCACTGGAGCTTGGTTTCTGACATCTTGATGAGAACCAACAAAGGCTTGAGTTTTCTTGGAACTCCACTGTTAATTGCTGTGCCAGGTCTTCAACTGAAGTCTTCTCTTGTCTTATGAAATATAATAAGTAGCACATTTTTAATGCACCAAATACTTCCTATTGCAAAGAGGCTGTGAGAAAAAAAAGTTCATTGAAGAAGAATCTAGTAAACAGCCTTTGCCACTCTTAAAGCACTGCGGATGTCCGCTGTCTGGGTTCTGGGTATTACCATGTTTGGTTGCACTCAGTTTCTCTCCCTGGAAGTCACACCCTGGGCCCCTTTATTATATCCTCTGCCCTGTTCTATTTGTTACAAATATTTTACTCCATTTCATAGTCTTGAATCTACTCAAAACCACATGCTTCTTTTCCTCCTGAGTCTATGGAAATCATGCCTGCTTTTTCTGAATTTAATCCTTTTTGGTCTTTATATTTTGGGAAGCCAGGATACCATTACTTCCATTTTGGTCCTTACTATTGTTACTTCCACAGCCCCCTGCAAACCTGCAAGACAGACAGACACACAGACACAGACACATACATATACACACATACACACACATACAGGATATATGAGCTATTGCTTCATAAAAATTAATTCCTAATTTGCTTATTCCTTTTGTGATCTGTGCTCAGTCTTTCCAATGATGAGATTTTTTTTTTGCTGTTAAAAGCCTCAATGCTTCGTATTTCCTGGGTTATTTTTGACACTGGAATGTGAGCAGTCTCTGAGAAGTCGGTAATGTCATCCAAAGCTTAGGCTTTGTGCCTCTTTGCTCTGGCTGCTTCCTGCAGAAGCTGTCACTTCAGGGCAGGACAGCAGCAGGGCCATGGGTTCTCCTGCTCAGCGGGCTGCACACTTTGTTGTGTTTCTTGTAGACAGTACACTGTGCGCTATCGAGAAAAGGGGGAGTCAGCCAGGTGGGACTACAAGCAAATCGCCCACCGACGCGTGTTGGTAGAAAACTTGATTCCAGACACCGTGTATGAGTTTGCAGTCCGTATTTCACAGGGGGAAAGAGATGGCAAGTGGAGCACCTCCGTCTTTCAAAGAACGCCAGAATCTGGTCTGTATTTGAATTCACTTTTGGTTTTCCATTCTGGGAATTACTCCTGTAATACGATTTAAAACCAATTAAGAAGCCAGTAGTGACCACGGCTAGCATAAGTGCTTAAATCACATGAAACCTGAATTTTGGTAATATTTCTTAGTATGTCTTTTTTTTTTTCCTGGCAGTACTGAGACTTAAACCTTCAACTTGCCAAGGAGGCTCTCAATACTTTGAGCCACACCCCAGTTCTTTCTAATGTTTTTGAATAGCCTCAAGTTTTTGCCCTAGTTGGTCTGGTACAGTGGTCCTGTGATCCTTTTTTTTTGTTGTTGCTGTTGTTGTTTTTAATCTCTCATGTAGCTAGAGATACAAAAATCTATTACCATGCCCAGTGTTTTACTGGTCAAGACAGGATCTTTGTGAACTTTTTCCCTGGGTTTTCCTAGAACCACAGAATCTTCCAGCTCTCTCTGCTCCTCCCCATTCCCCAGGTGCAGAGGAGTTAGGGAATCTTGTCTTTCTTACTCTTGGACATTCCCTAGCTTGTGGTTCTGACCTGTGGAGCCATTAGGCCTCAGTGTGCAGGCATGCAAGTCTCCGTCCTATGTGGGGATCCCGGTGGGGATGCATGGGTCTCCAGCCTGATGCCATCTATTTCTTTCCTGAGGCTGAAGTTCTACTTGACTCTGGGGAAGATTTTTCCTTTGTAGCCAAGGCTGATTTCTTTTACATCATATCTTTAAAAGTTGTAGTAAAAAGGAGTTGCACCTGGGTTTCTTATTTATAATCTTTATATATTTTCAGTGTTTAGTTATGAGGGGGAATCCTGAATTCCCAAAAGCCTTTCTCTAGCTATGTCTAGACTCCCTGCCTAAACTGGCACAAGTGGCATACATCACCCTATTCCTCAAAGAGCAAGTGCAAAATTTCCTCTCACATGCCATCCAATGAAGACATGGGCTCTCCAGTGATCAGTGCACACACTCGGCCTGCATGCCTGTTCCACCCAGGCTGACCATGAGGGTGTTGTAAACTGGTCCATTCCATGTCACCTTGCAGCTCCCACAACAGCTCCTGAAAACTTGAACGTCTGGCCAGTCAGTGGCAAGCCTACAGTGGTCACGGCGTCCTGGGACCCACTGCCTGAGACAGAGGGCAGAGTGAAAGGTAGGCCCTCTCTTCCTTGAAACCTAAGTGGTACCCACTATGATGATCCTGCTCTGTTCCCAGCTCTGGTGTCTGGGGAGGAACTAGAGGACGTGCTAAGTGTAGGGCTGAGGGCCTTTCAGGCAGGGTTTTCATTGTCTGACATGTAGGTGGTCTCCAAGGTGATTATCCTTGATTATTCCTGCAATCAAGGATGCTCTGAATGACATGGTATAACTATGCCTTGATCTATCCTAGTTTCATGCTCTGAGCTTTTCAGTGTGCCAAGAAAACTGAGAGTCTAGGAATCAGCAGGAACCCCACGGGGCCATAAATATCTTTAATGAGACCATAAATACTTTTAATGGCTTTGAAACACTCAAGTAATAATTTCCAGAAAATGGATTTATTTTCTGTTTATCATCTGTATTTATTTACTGAGGTTGGAGAAAGCATAACACTAAAGTATTAAAGAGTATAAGAGCTTTCAAAGAATAGGATAACATATTCACAACTAGTTAAAGTATAGTCTATTGAGAATATTAAATAAACCCAGAAATCATTTCGCTGCAATGTAAAAGGATTTAAATAGCTTTCAGGAGTCTGAGGACATCATAAGGAATCAGATCATGCCTAGACAAAAGCACTCTTGGGGTAGGAAAGTAATGAAGAAGGAATATCCTTTCTTGTTACTAGGGACTGAGAGACAACCAGAAAAGTTTATATAAGCTTAAAGAAATCTAGAATATTACTGCCAGTCTCCTTTGAAAAAATTGTTAATTGGAAATATCAATGAACTTTTTTTTTTTTTTTTGCATTTAACTCTGAGTTCTCGGGGCTGGGAAGGTGGCTCAGTGGTAGCGTGCTTGCCTTGCATGCATGAGGCCCTGGGTTCCGATTCCTCAGCACCACATAAGCAAAAAGAAAAAAGCTGGAAGTGGCACTGTGGCTCAAGTGGTAGAACACTAGCCTTGAGCTGAATAGCTGAGGGACAGCGTCTAGGCCCAGAGTTCAGGCCCCACGACCAGACCCCCCCAAAAAAACCTCTGAGTTCTCTTTGCTGCCATTAGGGGGTCTTTTCAGAGCACAGTAGAAGGTGAGGAAGTAGATATTTTGTCATTTCCTAGTTTTCTCAGAATAGGTGACACTGCTCCTCTTGCTTGCTCCTCACCCCTCTGGAACAAGTCAGACACCGAGGAAGAGAAGAAATACTTAGTTGGCTCTTTTAAATAATGGTTGTTATGATAGTCTGCGCATTGGTTCCTTCTGTGTCCAGCACTGAGGCCGTAAAGCCTCTGTAAATGGAATAAAGACTTTTTTTGGCTGATGATAGTTTTAGTTTCAAAAAAGACAGTTATTATTCTCTAGTAAATTTATTACCTATTACTGATTTGGCCTTCTTCTTGCCTGCATCTTAGTTTATATTTATAGCTCTTTGCTGAAAGAGGCCCCTAATCACCAAGTAAATATTTCTAGAAATAATGATAGCTACTAAGTATTAAAAAATATTTTGGGAACTACTGGGGTTTGAACGAAGTCATTGTGCTTACTAAGCAAGTGCTCTACCACTTGAGCCATTCCCTAAGCCCTTTTGACTTTTAATTACTTTTCAGATAGAGTCTCACTTTTACATAGAACTAGCTTCAAACTTCAATTTTCCTACCCATTTCTCTTATAGAGCCTGGATTACAGGTGTATACCATCACATCCCAACTTGTTTGGTTAAGAGGGTTTTCACTAATGCTTTACCTGGGCCGGCTTTGAACTTCAGTCCTTCTGATCTCTACCTCCCAACTAGCAGAGATTACAGGCATAAGTCACTACACTCAGCAAATTGAGTTTCCATACATGAAAATTCATGTATCCTATCTCTGCTTGGTTTTCACAAAGGTGTAGTAGTGGGGCTGAAATTTATAATTAATTGGAGGCATTTTCTACACAAGAAATATCAAACATAGCAGAAGAATATATACTTTACATGGTTTAATACTTTTTCCAGATGAAGGAATCTCTTAAAAAATCAGAATTACAAACTTCCAAAGAGTGGGTTCTCTTAGTTCTTACTTTGACCACCACAAATGACTAGCTTACTCATTTTCAGTGAGAAAAGAATGCTGTGTTTTGTGGATAAATGCTGTAAAAACATTTTGTTGGAAAGTTTCAAAATTAATGTTCTTTTGAAAGATTGGAAGTTAGGGAAAATAAAAGAGCCTTATCTTCCTTAGAATTGGCTGATTTCTCTGTGATTGTCTGTGATTATTTTCTTAGTTAGGTTGTTCTCTTATTGAGTTATTAAATTTTGCAAATCTTGGGTTGACTGAGGAAAAAAAGGATAGTTTATAGTTGAGGGTTAAAAATCATACTCTAAAATATGACTATGTTACAGTATTTCTATGCAATCAAAGAGGTATTTTAGTTCCTTGGACTGAATTCTATGGTTTTTGAAGTTCAAGGCCTTAATATACTTATCTGTAGGGCTAATTAAATGTGAAAACCTTGGAGATCGAATAAATATATTGCTTTGCAACTTTACAAATTCTGTTGAGTATCAGGTGCTGGTGACTCATGCCTATAATCCTAGCTACTGAGGAGCTGAAATATGAGGATCATGGTTTGAAGCCAGCTCAGGCAAGTAGTCTATGAGGCTCTATCTCCAGTGAACTAGCAAAAAAGTGAAGGTGTGGTTCAAGTGGTAGAACACAGCTTTTAAGCAAAAAACAAAACAAAACAAAACCCCAACAAAACAAAAAACAAATGAGAACATAAGGCCTTCACACACAAACACACACACACACATACACAATTTTGTGAAACATCCTTATCAGCAATGTGGAGTAAGAATTTTTTTATAATTCCTACAAAAGTGAAGAATTTATATTTCAAAAAATATTTTCTCCTGGTTCAACTTGCTAATAGAAGTAATTAAACTAGACAAACTGAAGCTCTTGAAGATGTGAGTGTTTATTTAGAATCAGTTCTTAGATGTCACTTTTTTTGGTCTTGTAGAAGATTTGTCAATATAATCATAGCATGCTAATAAATGAATATACATCATGAGGCTGGGATCTAAGGACCTCAATTTGAAGCCAATCTTGGGCAGGAAAGTCTGTGAGACTCTTATCTCCAATTAACCACTCCCCCCACTCCCCTACCCCCCCAAAAAAGGCTAGAAATGGAGCTGTAGCTCAAGCAGTAGAGCACTAGCCTTGAGCCAGAGGAGCTGAGAGACAGTGTCTGGGCCCCAAGTTCAAGTCCCAGGACCAGTGCAAAAACTAAAACTAAAATAAAATTAATATACAAAAAAGTGTACATATTCTTTGATGAATGTTTTTCCTGATTTTCATATGCTTCAGCATCTTAAAAAAGCAAATTGCCTGTTCATAACCTTCAAAGCCTGTCTGGTGTCCAAATAAGAGAGTTCACCTCTGCCCCTTCCTGCTTCAGCTGTGAACTTGGCGTGCATTGCTAGTGTGTTTAATTTTTGTGATGTGAGTTCTAACTCATGCTGCCCATCCAGTCCATCTGCTGGACCCGGGACTGTTTCCCATTCCTTCCTTCCAACCGTCTGCCAAATCATTTCAGAATACATTCTTTCCTACGCCCCGGCTCTCAAACCATTTGGAGCAAAGTCTCTCACCTACCCCGGACACACTACTTCTGCCCTGGTGGATGGTCTGCAGCCTGGGGAACGCTATCTGTTCAAAATCCGGGCTACAAACAGGAGAGGTCCCGGGCCACACTCCAAAGCCTTCATTGTCGCTATTCCAACAAGTAAGCACTGCATTTGTGGCTGTCTCCTACCTCTTTTCATTTGCTGTTTGTTTTGTGTGACTTTGAATCATGCTTTTAAGTTTAAAGCTTCTTGGTGAATGATTTCACAGGACTCAGTTTGCATATTGGTTACTAAGATATTTCTGTGATCTTTTTAGGAATTGATCTTCCCAAAGACTAAAATCATTACAGGACTATTAAGATGCTACTTTTCTGATGATTTGTATCATGGTTTAATGGAGAGGGGGGGCTTATTTTGATAGGGAGAGAACATTTTTACAGATATACTGGGACTTGTTTTTTTAAACTATTGGTCCTCTTGTATATAACATTTAAGAATTTTTAGTTTTTATTCCATTATTTTGGAGTACAGCTCTACTCAGAAGAATTCCAGTTGTCTAGTTCATTTGTTTGGCATCAAAACCAACTACGGAAATGATTGTCTTCTTTCCTGCTTCTCTGCATTTTTGCCAGAGATGGGGAGCTCTCTGTCCACTGTGTGCTGTGAGGGTCCCAGCAAGGCTGCAGTAGGAAACAGATTTATGCTGGAAAAATCTCTGGGAGAGATGAAATGTGCTCCCTAAGGGCCCCCAGTGCTATGTGACTACCCCTATCCCCCGCCCCCCAACAGCCTTCCTTTACCTGTCCGTTCTGCTCTCCAGCCAAGCTATATTCAATAGAATATTTTCTATACCAGTCTTCTCATTGTAAGCCATGGAACTTCAAATGTGTCTATTATGGAAGGAGTTTTAAGCACGGAGGAAATAAGTAAAAACGTATTAGAGCGAATCTGAGACTGTAGTGCCCCAATAATTGGCATATGTGTGTGTATATATATATATATATATATTTCATGCCTATTAGTAACAACTATATATATGGTTCCAGATAGAGAAGGATAAAGATCTGCAACTATAGTGGGGCATAAATTTTTCATTTAAAGATAATGAAGACAAAAATAGGAATAAGTGGCATTTGCATTTTTCATTGCATAAAATCTGTTCGTTTTCTCTACTAAAGATGATGTATGGTAGAGCACTATTCATCATGTACAAAAAGAAGAGCTCTAATGCATTTAGAAACTACTATTTTTTTTTAACTTCCGATGTTAAGATTTTCTACTGTCAAAAAACAATGACTTCATTCACTGTTCAAGATTCTCAGGACCCTTCAGCATGCCAAGATCCAAAGGCGCTCAGGCTCCTTACATAAAATAGTAGAATCTGAGCAGCACCTGTGCACATTCTCTTGCATACCGTTAACGATCACTAGTTCGTTGCAGTGTTCATTGCAGTGTTGAAGGCAATGGAAAGGCGATGCCAATGGTAGTCTTTCAGTGTCATTTAGGGGGAAAGAAAGGCGAAGGCGCCAGTGCCTGCTCCAGGGAGCTGTAATTGTCTCCCTCCCCCCCGCCCCCACAAGCATTTTCCAGAAAGGCTGAGCTGAATCCCAAGGCGAGAACCCACGGATGTGAAGGGGCAGCGGCCCTCCATCAGGAATCTGATGGGACAGAATCAGACTGCATGTCCTTCAGGCAAACCGTCCTGGAGCCACGTCCCCTGTGCTGAAGCAGTGGTGTCGCCTGAGCAGCCTGTAAGTGCTTGTTCTGTAACGCTCGTTCTGTGAACTCTTGCAGCCAGTACCAGCAAGTCCGACGACCGGCAGGGCGGGGATGACCGGCAGGGCGGGGACGACGCCCGGACGCGGGGGAGACCCCGGCCTTCGCCGCTTGCCCCCCGCGCCCCGGCCTCGGCGGAGCGCGCGCCTCCTCCCCCGGCCTCCACCGCAAGCAGGAGCGCCAAGGACGCCCTCCTCGACCTGAAGAACAGGATCCTGGCCACCGGCGGCGGCGGGCCCAGGAAGCCCCAGCCTCAGCCCGAGAACACCCGGGAGGCGGGCCTTCAGTCCACGCACGTCACGGAGGCCGAGGAGCGGGATTCCCTGGAGGACCCACGCCCGTACCCCTCGGAGACCCGAGACCAGCGGCGCACCCCGCGGCCCCCAGGCCGCCCCTGGGTCCCGGCTCGGCCTCCGGCCAGGGCCCGACCGCCAGTGCTGCCCCGAAAGGAAGGCGCGGGCACGCGGGGCTCCTCCGCGGCCTCCCCCTCGGCCGAGGCCCCTCGGGCCCCCCAAGACCCCTCTCCGCACCCCAGCGTGACAGACCACGACGGGGAGGTCCGGGAGGAGCCCCACCACCCTGGGAGCCCCGCTGTGGCCCGGCCCGCGCCGCCCCCCAGCCGCCCCGCCACCCCCACCTTCCCGCGGGACCGGAGCCCCGCGCGCGGCTTCCGGCCCGCGGCGGCCCAGGAGGACCCAATCGCCCGCGCCGCACCGTCCAGGCTGTCCCCGCCCCGCCGAGGCTCCTCCGACCCGCCCCCGGGCCCCCCGCTGGCCAGGGGCTGGAAGGACGGCCCGGCCTCCCACGTGCCCCCTCGGACCCCCTCGTCCAGGACCGAGGCCCCCAACGGGGAGGACCCAACGGGGGAGGACCGGGGTGCCCAGGGCGCCGCGCGGCAGGCCGAGGCCTCCGCCCCGGCCCTGCGGGCCCGGCCGGCCGCGGGCCCCGCGAGTCCGCCCAGGAATAAACCCTTCCCCGCCGGTGGCCGGGCGCAGGCCTGGTTCGGTGGCGGCCGCGGGCCGAGGTTGCTGCCCGGGAGCACCCCGCCTTCCCCGGGGGCCTCCAGCGCCGCCTCCGGCATCCCCGGGAACCAGGACGGCGAGAAGCCACGAGCGTCAGGGGGTCGGGAGCCCCCGGGCCGGAGCCCCCAGAGGGGAGCCAGCCCGGACTCCGAAGCCGCCGGCGCGGGCGGGCGGCCCCATGACAAGTCCGAGGCCCAGGACGTCCGGGGGAGCCCCGACGTGGCCCCCGATCGCCCGCTGTTCCCCGCGCGCCCCCAGCCCGGGCCCCCTGTGCCCAGGAGGCTGGCCCCCGGCCGGCTCCCCGAAAGGCCGCCCCACCTGCCGCCTCCGTCGGCGCCCCTGCGCCCGCGCCCCTCGGTCCACGCCCCTCGGTCCACGCACGAGGACGCGGGCCGGTCACTATCCCAGCCCGAGCTCTCGCTGGCCCACGCCAGGCGCCCGGCTCCCCGGGGCCGGGGCCCGGGCCGGGACTCCTCCGGGAGCAGCTCCGAGGACAGCAGCACGGAAGAGGAGGCCACAGATGTGGGCGCCATGGACGCCCTTAGGGCCCCGCCCAAGCCCCGCCCGGGCGCCCCTGTCCCTGGCCAGCGCCCCGCGCTGTCCACATCCCCGCAGTCGGTCTCCACCGCCGAGGACGAGGGCCGCGAAGGGCCGAGGACAGGAGGAAGGGCGAGCGCCCCGCGCGCGCCCGGGGACGGCGAGGTGGACGCCGCGCACGAAGAGGAGGACGCCCCTCGGGGAGAGCGATCCCCTCCTGCAGGCAGCCCCCCGAGGGCCTCACCCCCGGCCCGCGTCCCTGCCACCCCCGGCCCCCCGCCAGGCCCGCGATCCTGGCCGCAGCACACCACGCGCGCCCCCGCCAGCTTCTCGTCCACCACGCCCATGCTGTCGCTGCGCCAGCGGATGCAGCGCCGCTTCCGGACGCCGGTGGCACGCGCGCCCGCCAGGCTCGCCCACGCGCAAGGTGACCGCTCGCCCTTGCTTTTGGGTCCGGGTTCGAATTTAGTTAGTTCTGTGGATGCCCCATAGCTGAGGCTTCAACTCCAGACTTGGGCACTGCTGCCCCTTGGCTTTCTTGCTCGAGGTTGACCTCCTTCGGCTTGAGCCACAGCTCCATTTCTGGCTTTTTGCTGGTCTGTCGGAGCGAATGGACTTTTCCCGCCCGGGCTGTCTTGGGTCTGAGATTCCCCAGAGCTCAGCCCCGCAGTGGCCAGGATCACAGGCGTGAGCCGCCAGACCCATCTGTCCGCTACCCTCACTTTCCCCTGAAGACCAAATGGGATTCAGGTCCACTGCCCTGGCACCCCAGGTCTGGTGCTCAGTGTGGGGCCCCAGGCCCGACAGACGCAATCCTCCTCCCTCAAGCGGTCTAGAGTCCAGCCAGCTTCCAGACAGCCTCGCACTTGCACCTGCACCTGCACCATGGGCAACGGAGGATAGGGCTCAGAGAGCTGGACGTAGTTGTCCTGTTGGGTGGATAGCCTGAGGACCCTTTAGAGACCAATATGCTCTGTCCTAATCATCCTGTGCCCTCCAATTGGCTAAAATTCATTGGTAACCACTTAGGCCTTAAGCTCTATGAAGAAATTTTCCTTGTGTAGCGCGTGCTTATTCTTTTAATCTGGTCAGAAAATGGATTTGCACTGTCCTTTTGTAGCCATTCTTGCCCTGTGAGGTTACCTGTAGGACTGTTGTCATCTGCCACATAGGAGCAGTGAGTTTAAAATTGTCTCTCGTGTTTGTTTGAAATGATGTTATAACTTAGAGTTAGGGATGAAGCCAGTGGCTCAGAAATACAGAATTTGTGGGGCATTGTTATTTTTTTGTTATTACACTATGCAGGTTATAATGGCAGACCAAATATGGAAGAAAATGTGTCTTCTGGCAGTAATGGGAAACCGAATGGACAAAGAATTATCAACGGCCCTCATGGAACCAAGTGGGTAGGGTAAACTTCTTTACACATTTTGGTTGCTCATGTGCTGTTGGAAAAGAGAAATCATAGACACTAGCTGGGTGCTGATAGCTCACGCCTGTAATCCTAGCTGCTCAGGAGGTTGAGATCTGGTGATGTGGGGGTAGAGAGGAGAATGGCAGTCCAAACCAGTTTCATTTGTGTAGGTGAATAGATAGAGAAGTCCAATATCCCTTTTAATTGGCTTCTTGAGGACTGTAATCTCTTCCCTCAGTTGATGGATCCTTAAGATATTTCCTATGTGGCATTAGATGCAGTGTACTATGTGGTAAAAATATTTGAAACACTCTTGTGTGTTGTATTTTTGAGAAAATAACATCGATAAACAGGATAGCTTTGTAAGTCTTGGGAACGGTAAGAAGCATTTTTCCCATTCAAATAATGGCTTTTTTCTGTGGAAGCTCTGCGCATATGCATAGGAAGTTGGATTAATGTGAACATTTTCAAGTGTTGAATGTGTTCTTCAATCTGTGCGTGTGTGTAGGTGGTGGATCTCGATCGTGGGCTGGTATTGAATGCAGAAGGTAGATACCTCCAAGATTCACACGGCAATCCCCTTCGGGTCAGACTGGGAGGAGATGGCCGCACTATTGTAGGTGAGTGAGGATGGTTTCCTTTTTATGTTATTTAAAGTAATTATTTATATTATTTGTATTTCTGGAGATTGAATTTAGGGCCTGGCCATGCCTACCCATGAACATACTGCTAAAGAAACAAAAATGTACTGAATTAGTCATAGAATAACTCCTGTCATCTCCCCTCATTTTTAATGGTTGCCTTGACCAGTTACTTTCAGCCATGTGGGAAGAAGTTCCCCCCGAAGAGGCAGGGCTCAGCATGTCCCTTGTACAGTTTTAATTAACTGCTTCCTGTGGACTCCACCCCTAGAAATGTAAGAGTGTAGTATAGTATGTGAAATTAGCCACTGAGAGCAGAAGGCTGAAATCTATGACCCACTATCCACTGCCTATTTCTGTAAGACCCACGAGGTCAGAATAGTGTATATGATTTCAAATGATTGCAAAAAAATCAAGATACTATTGATGATTTTGGAGCATGTGATAATTATACAAAATTAATATTTCAGTATCCAAAATCCTCATTATCCAAAGCATTTGTATCTGTGTCATCTAACATGTTTGCTATGTATTGTAGAAGGGCTGAGTTGAATGGTCGCAACAGAGACCATCTGGCCTTTAAACATGAAAATATTTGCTCTCTGGCTCCATACAGAAAGAGTTTGCTATCCCTGCTTCAAACTAACCTGTTCCTCCTTAGGAGTAGGTAGGAGTGACTTCCCTTAGTAGATACTGAGTTTTCTCAGAATGCATGATGGGGCGTAACAGTGAAAGAAGTGTGCACTTGTATAAGGAAATGCAGAGAGGAGGTGCTACAGTGGGCTGTACATGTCTGGATGGCAGATACTGCCTCCTAGACTGTTACGCTTTTCATTATTCCACTACCTCTTCCTGATTAAAATATAATGCAGAAACGCATAGAAGACCCTTTCTACTTACTTCTGATTTCCTCTGGATGGCTCCATCCGGTTGATTTCATTTCAGATCTGGGAGGAACTCCTGTGGTGAGTCCCGAGGGTCTGCCCCTCTTTGGGCAGGGACGACATGGCAAACCGCTGGCCAGTGCCCAGGAGAAGCCCATCCTGAGCCTTGGAGGGAAGCCCCTGGTGGGCTTAGAGGTCATCAGAACGACCACCCATCCTCCCACCACAACCATGAGGCCTACCACCACCACAACCACGAGGCCTACCACCACCACAACCACAAGGCCTACCACCTCCACAACCCACACGGTGACTACCACTACCACCACGATGGCTGCCACCACCACCCGAAGGCCCACAGCTGCCACTCGCCGCGTGGCCACCACCCGTCGTACCACCACCCTGCGCCCGACAGCCACACTCCAGACCACCACTCGGACCACCACCACCACCACCACGACCACCACCCCTGCGCCTCCCACTCCCACCCCTACGTGTCCCCCCGGGACCCTGGAGCAGCACGACGACCACGGCAACTTGATACTAGACTCACATGGGATCCCCGAGTGCTACCCCGAAGGTAACCAGCTTCATCCTCCCGGTAACCCAGCCCTCTGAGCCAGCAGGCTGCATGTCCAGGGTGGCAAAGCCTGCCGGCAGCGGTAAGTAATGAGCACGACGGTGACGAGGGTCACCTTTAGTCCAGGTGGGAACTGTTGATGGTCCTGGGTCCCAGAGAGAGTTCTCAGAGCGAGCTAAGAAATACTGCATGGAACATGCTGTACAAAAATGCCATGTGTTGCTTATCTAAAATTCAGTGTTGACCATAGTTCCTGTGTCACAATCCAAGTCACAGATCAATCAGAAATTTATGACATTAGTTTGAGCTACTGTTTCCTAAAGTGATTTCTGGGATACCAGTAGATTAATAGTTGTTATATTAAAAGAAGGAAGGAAGGAGAGAAGGAAGGAAGGAAAGAAGGAAGGAGGGAAGGAAGGAGGGAGGGGGGAGGGAGGCTGGCTTTGTGAATAACTGTGGGATTTAGACATGGTGAACCATCTGGACATTGAATGGTCAGTCTCCCTGTGAATCTAAGGAAAGTCGAGTTTCCACAGCGAGGCTGGCAGCCGACGTCACCAGCCTTCCCTTTGGAAAATGCTAATCCTCACTTGGCTGGGCTTCTTATGGATCTGCAAGCTTCCTGTGATGAACTCCCCCAGCCTTGCCACTCTCCATCCCGGCAGTCAGCTGCCCTTCATGTCGTTCTGTGTTCGTGCGGAAGAATGGAGCTGGGATGTGATGGTCCAGGCTGCAATGGTGCCGCAGGTCATCATCATCTCTGTTCAGGCCACTGTTCAGACTGCTGTGGATGGAGCCAGCCAGCAACAGGGATAAATTTCAGTTGAGATGAATTGCACTGTCTGCTGTGAGCTCAGTATTCGAAGCTAGTACAGCCTGGAGACCCTTCCTTCCTCCCAGGAATCCTTTCCATGCTTGGAATCCTTGCTGATCATGAGAAGCTCATGTGCCTGTGAATGCAGTTTCCAAAATGAAGATGCTGTTTGAAGCCGTTCTGTTCATGGAGAAGTACCAAAGAAAGAGGAAAACTTGACAACAAATTCACCCAGTGGAACAAGGAACCACATCACTGGGGAGGAAGTACTTCTGCTGTTTATCCAGTGAGTACCAATCCGAATTTACCTTTGAATTTCTAGTACCACAACTTTTCTTCTGCATGTGTGGATGTGTTTGTTTTTAAACAGAAGCCTAATTAAAATAGATAATTGCTTTAAAATTGGTTGTAAACAAGAATGATTAGAATCTGATTATAATTATGTGCATTTTATTTTTGTCTTTTAAAAGTCTTATGGCATGTTATTTTCACATACTTTTTCTTTTAGCTTTAATTTAGCAAGCATGGAAACTTGTGTCTCTTCTCTGTAAGTCATATTTACTTATATGTTTTTCTTTACTTAGATGCATTCTTCAAATTCCCTAGTTCAGGCTGAAGAATAATCTACTCAGAGGCAGAATTTTGAAAACTAGTACAAATAAAGGCAAAATCTTGTGGGGAGGGAATTAAAGTTTGGGAGTGCAACGTACCCTTATTCAATATTTTCATGTATTATATGTTATTATTTTTAAGATACTCTTGTGTGGCCTTTTATTTTAAAATTCCTCCTGCTTCACTAGCAACTCAAGCACTTTTTTGCATGTGTGCAAATTGTAGTTATCTCTTTCCTTTAAAGAGATAACTTTGGTTAATACCTGAAGAGTGGCCAGTGTTTAGTGCCTACAACTTGATGAGTTTAGGGACGAGAAAATAGTCCTGAATGTACCACAGTCACCAAAGTGATTGGCACCCATCACTTCCCAAAGTGCCCCCTTCTCTCCTTTCTCTTTCCCTCCATTTTAGCTCTTATAGTTGCTTTGTTCTCACCATCTCTAAGTTGACCCCACCAGCCAAACACTCTTGAGAGGAAGAGACAGAGGAAGTATTTGGTTCTAAATGTGGCTTGAGGTTTGAACATAGTGAGTCCAATTGCTCAAGAAAAGTCTGTGCACCCTCTATAAAATGAATACATCCAGTGTTTCTTGGCTGAGTGCTTCATTGTGGCCACCATATGCAGAAGTGCATTCTGTGATTTCTGCACTAACACTTGGAGTAGAGAGGTGTAATGTTGGAAAAATGACCACTCTAAGGACTCTTCTGCAGAGCCACCAGTGACTTACTCCCCGCCTCCCTCCCCCTGCCCTGCCTCTCACGTTAACGCTTCTCTTTCATCATGCTGAGTCCAGTCCAGTCCATGCTGCCCTCTGTGAATGCTGGGCCTCCGTGTGTATACACTGAGCTTTGCTCAGCAACATGTTGTCCAAGGCTTTTGTTCACTTGCAGCATTTATTGTTGATTATGTAGTGATTATGACTTGGTACCTGCATCAGTGGCCACTGAGGAGCCGGGGGGAGGCGGAATGAAACCCCTCCTCCTCTGCCCTCCTTCGGCTGATCATCTGACATCCCATTCTAGTTGCAGAGTGCTAATATTCTGTTTATAGCTCTCTAGTTTTGAAAGCATCTTTCCATATCTGAGAGTCTTGGCTCACTTTGTTAAATCACACCCCTCTCATTTCCTTGAAAACACTGCTTGCAAATGATGTTCTGGAATATTTTTGCACCACCCAGTCATGCAGTCATTCAAGCTGTATTTCTGGGGATTTCTTCAGTTGTATGGATGTCATATGTCTCTGTAGGCACAGATGCATTTTTTATGCTTCTCTCTTCTTACACACATGCACAGGCACGCATGCATGCACATACACATACACATACACAGTGTTTTTTGCTTGACCTGAGTTTTCCATGAGATAACGTATATTCCTTGGGTACCTGAGAGGGTGGCTTTTGCTCCATCTCTAATTCCTCATGGTACCCAGTCATCTTTTGAATATGTAGGTCTTGTCTGTTTTCCAGCTGGGAAGTAAAAGCCATTGGTCTTTGTTTTCCAGGTTCTCTTTCTACAGTGCATTGATGAAGTTGTGTGTACTTGGAAATGTTCTGAGCCAGATGAATATTCAAGAGTCTGTAATATAACCTTATTCCATGGTGCAGAAAAACATCAGCCATGATAGTAAATAGCTCCACCCTGCCAGACTTGTTCTCCTGACAGAGGATACAGAGAATCACTGATATTCACTTGAGCCGGACCCATCATCGAGGGTGAAAATACTCCTGGATTCTAAGGGCTGTTACTTACCCTTCCTCTTTTCCTCCTCCCCTTCTCTCAACTATGAACAGTAAATCTTTTTTTCATATTTCTGTTTCTCTGTAGGGCTCAGATTCTCTTTTTTTGGTGATATTTTTCACCCATTTTTATGACCATGAGTAAACTACTGAAGGGAATAAGAACTCCGCCACTATGGTTGAAGACTGGCAGCTGAATTTACATGGAGAGGTTCCAGCTGGTGGCATGAATGTCATCAAATGTCCAGTTCTGCATGGTTCCAAATAGCTCTGAATGGCATCCAGGTGGAGCAAAAATCAAGCTTTTCTAAAACAACTGTAAATATACTTCATTACATCTGGACATTACTTTTTCTTAGAGTCAAGACACTGATTTAGAAAATTTTTTCCTGAGTTGATTTGGTCTTTAGGAAAAAAAAGTATTGTTATTAAATAGGATGTTCCTTTATTCCAGAGGCCACAACCATCACTCATCTCAAGAAAAGATCAGCTTGCACACATCTTTCTGTGAGCTAATGCATGAAACGTGTATTTCAGCACCTCAAGGAATTAACCTTAATGCCAGAAATCAATAAAGGAAACAAAACACTTTTCCTCTTCTTGGTCATCCCAGAATGCGAAAGTTGCACAATTTATTCATTTTTGACCTGGATAAATCAATGAGAAGATTACACTGCTAACCAGGAAAAGTAATACTAAAAGTCAAAAGTCCCCAAAGTTCCTAAAAGTTATGTGACAGAGGAAGAATACAATAGGCCAGGAACCAATGACAAAATAACTCCAAACTTCAGTTGGTATAAACCTGGAAGCTACTTTGTACCAGCTCATTAGTAACTGGGATTTGGACCTCTTGACCTATTTGGACCTCTTGGACCTTGGAGTGACCTATGGAAACATCCAATTGTGTTGAATGGCTTTTCATGAAACGACCCACCTGTCCCTGAAGACCAGGTGATCTACAACTTGTAAACATCCACCGGTCCCCAGGACATGCCAGGCAGAGGCTGGTAATGCCTCAAGAGTTCTTAGCTTCTCACTGGCTGTTGTGGCTTCAGGTCATCATCTTCCGAAGGGCTGGACAGCCAACTCTAGATGTGCCACTGCCCTTGGCGAGGCCTGCCTGTGTTAGCACATGAACACTTTTTGTGCCAGGACTTGGGCTTGAACTCAGGCCTTATACTTTCATTGGGTTTTTTTACTCAAGGCTGGTGCTCTTATCACTTAAGTCATATCTCTACTTCTGGCTTTTGGTTGGTTTATTGGCAATAAGCATCTCATATATTTTCCTTCCTGGGCTGACTTTCAACTGTGATCCTCAGAACTCAGCCTCCTGATGAGCTAAGATCACAGGCCTGGGTCACAGTGCCTGACTAACACTCATGATATTAATCAAACTAGAGTCCCAAAAGGCAGATAGACTCATACCAGTGGAATATTTCTGAGTAATGATTGATAATCCTAGCTGATTAATGGGTGGGTGGGCTGTGTTGGCAGAGGGATCCCCAGGAACAGAGAGATGTTAGCTCCTGGTCAGGGGACATTTATATCATTCCTTTCTGATCCCAAAGAAGAGAGCACCACTCCAGAGTTCTGCTGGTCTCTGGAGAGGTGAGGAGATGCTGGTATAGCTGGCTGGTCTCCATGAGCCACTCAGGTGGATAACTGTTATATTATGTCCTGGGCCCAACTCAGACAGCACTTGGAAGAACCACAGGATGACTCCTGCTCTCTCTTCCTCCCCAGATGATTTCTCAGGCCTGGAGACAGACATAACACCGACAGAAGAGGCTTATGTTGTATATGATGAAGGTACAAGTGGATTCTAAAACACTTGTGTATTTTCTTTCCCTCCCCAAGGATCTGATTTTGAGTGGATGATTTCAATTGCAATTTCCTTTGGACTGACTTGAGATGGTGGTTAGAGCCATCACTCCCCTTAGAGTCCCTCTTGAATTCACCTTTGACCTAAAGGAAAGCAGTGTGCTTCACAAGCAAATGCAGCTTCTCAACAAATCCTTCACAGTCTCTTATTATTGTGAAAATACCTTACAGCGGGGTTACAATTACATGAGCAAGATAATGAGTACATTTCTTATCAAGCATTGTTGCCTCCTCCTTTGTTTCCCCTTCCCATCCCTTCCCATCTCCCCCCCCCCCACATCTCCCCAACCCCTGTCCCCCCTCACAGTCTCTTTCTGGTGAAGAAATACTAGGGCTGCTACTGTTTTGGCTCTCTCCCCTACCTCTGCTTGCCAAACCATATGGTTTAACTATCATCTGGACTTCCTCCCTGACGGTCTCTCTCTCTCTCTCTCTCCTCTCTCTCCTCTCTCTCCCCTCTCTCTCTCTCTCTCTCTCTCTCTCTCTCTCTCTCTCGCATCTCTCTCTCTCTCTCTCGCACACACCTTTTTCTTTCCTCCTCTTTTCTAATTACATACAAAATATGATACCGCTAGATGTGTTGCTTCTTATTATAGTATCTTTTCAAGTACAGTACGTTCAGGAATATAAAATGAGCCAGGAATTGTACGGTGGTTCACATTGTAATCTTAAGCTACTTGGGAAGTAGAGATCTGGAGAATCTCAGAGACTAGACCTTGCAGAAAGCTCAGAAACTCCCTGAGTGTGTTGGTACATGCCTATCACCCCAGCTGTGTGGGAAGATTAAATAGGAAAATCAAAGTGCAGGCCATCACTCCAGATCTTATTCCAAAAATAATGAAATCCTTTCATTCCATCCCTTTCCCCCAAAAGGCTATAAAGTATGGTTTAGGTGGTACAGTACCTGCCTATACAGCACGAAGCACTGATTTTTAAACCCCAGTGTTGCAAGTGCGCGTGCGTGCATGCACGCACACACACACACACACACCACACACACACACACACACACACACTCACACATGCATGCACATGTATCTGAAGTGCCTTTGGCAGGAATTAGAACGGCCTCTCAAGAAATGACAACTGATGCTGTTATTATTGGGGCCTATAGAACACCTTGTGTGCTGTGCACGCTGCCTCTGTAGTTCAGAAGTTCATAGGGAACTTGTCCCCACCTGCTGAGGACTTTGACACCTAAGCTCAGGATGTGCTCAGGATTTGCAAAACCCCCTCTCACCCCAGCCTATCACCAGCCTTGGCCCCAATTGTCTTAAGCTATAGCTGTGTGAATAATGTCACCTTTGATGCTGTATTTATTTCTAACCAGGTTTGATGTAGTGACTTAATCCACTACGGTATGGAAAGAAAACTTGATTTAGAAAAACAGCACATGTCAGGAAGTTGAGGAGGATTTCTTGGCACCTTGGAAAATAACCAGTCTTTTTATGTTTGGACAATTGAAGCATGGTTTTACTGTTTTTTTAATGTTAAAAAATGAGTTCTCTTTAGATCTTTAATCCTACCTTCCTCCTCAGCAGAGGAAAAATAGACTATACCCAGATTTTTTTTAATTCAAGTTTTTTTATTCACTTTTAATAACCTTTTATGGCTCTACAAGGGGAAATTATTCTGGTCAGGAAGAGTATTGGGTCAGCAACATGAATCACTGACAACTGATGCTGTTATTATTCTTGGGACCCCACAACTTCTAAAGGTTCTAAGTTGCAAGGGTCCCCACAGCTATTACCGTAAAACCCTGTTTTCGTGGTCATATGGTTTCTTATTTCTCTTCCTCTCTTATTATCTGCAGCCGTTCTTATAAAGGGACAGATGTGGAAAAAAATGGTATATTACTAGAGACAAAGTATGTGTAGCCAGAGCAGTTCTTTCAGTGGGGGAGGGGCGCTACAATTGAATCTTAAGAAAGTATCTTTTGACTTCAAATGGTGCCCTTCTCCTGGAAGGGCCCCATTCCCAAGCTTCCCTCTCCTTTCAGATTATGAATTTGAGACCACACAGCCACCAGCACCAGCCACCACCATGCCCGCCACCACACCGCAGGTCATCCAGGAGGAAGGCACCATCAGCTCCTTCCCTGAGGAAGAATTTGATCTGGCAGGAAAGAAGCGGTTTGTTGGTAAATATAACTTCCTTGATTGGAGAAACATGGCTGTTTAACTTTCCCCTTTTGAAGAAGAGTGTAACTAATTCCTTGGCCAAAACATTGCCCAGAGTGAAGTTTCCTTCCATTTGGGGTGATTTAGCGAGTCAGTCTTGTTGAGATGCATATGAATTTACTTTCTGCAAAAGTCAGAAGAGGGGAAGATCTCAAGGACAGATGGTGTCCAACAGAGGAGCATTTAAAGAGGCTGCTGCCCTTGTAGCCTAAGAGCCAGAAAGAAAAATCAGGGGCTGGGAAAGTGGCTCAGTGATAAAGTGCTTGCCTTGCATGCATGAGGCCCTGGGTTCAATTCCTCAGCACCACATAAGCAGTAAAACTGGAAGTGGCACTGTGGCTTAAATGGTAGAGTGCTAGCCTTGAGCTGAAGAGCTGAGGGACAGCACCCAGGCCCAGAGCTCAGGCCCCAGGACCAACCAAAAAAAAAAATCAGGTTCACTAGGGATATGTGTCATTCTATTTTATCAAAGCTAGTTTCCCTAAGATAAGATTAATTACCAGGCCTTATCCACATGTAGTTTGTTAAATTCTCCCCATAGGGTTAACAGCTTATGGAGTGGTGTCACCAGGAACCACTAGCATAGATATAAGCAGAAACAAAGCTGGTTTTCTCCAGTTATTTCCTATAAGTTTCTCTAGAAACTCATGTTTGTCCTCTATCTCAGTAATTAAATCAATTTAAGTAGGAAATTCTCTGTAGCTAAACTGTATTTCATTCTCTTTCCAAGTCTTTTTTTCCCATGCCCTGAATGAACTTCACTGATGAGACAGTTAGATTAATATGTTAGCAAGTGGAGACAAGCAACAGCTTAAATTAATATCACACTTTTCTGTTTCCAAAACAAATACCCTGCCATAAGCAGGAAAGTGTTCCAGCCAAGATGCAGTAATCGATTGAGTGTCTAAACCTCACGTTCTTGAGGAACAAGAAGATTACTCTGATGTAGCATTTCTGAGCTAATGCCAGTGCTTGCCCACAGTGTGCCGATGTCCGGCTGCATTCACCAAGTGCTCTCTCTGTTCTTAGAGAGAGAAAAATGAAAAAGAATTCAGTGCTATGATTAGCTGTCCTACAGAGCACTTCCAAAGACTGAAAGACTTACCATGGGTTGGCTATTTTTCTTATGACTATAACTTTCCTATAAGATGTCATAACCCACTTCCCAAAACTTTCTGAGGAGATCTACAGACAATCCCGATAGGCCTAGTTTTATACTAATAATTGGAAGTTGGAGGAGCCAAGAAATTGCATTCAGTCCCAACAAGTCCTAAGAAGGAGAGCCTAGCAGTCAAAGATGCAGTGGACTCTAGGAATGACAAGAATTGTGATGCAAAAACACTTGAGTGTTCCATGTGTGCAAAGCCCAACCTCGTTTCTTGGCATTTCTAGCTTACAGGGTGGAATGGAATTAAACAAACTGTGGGTTGGGCAGATTTTCCTTTGGAGCTTTTAATTGTGGGCATGCTATCTGCACCAAGAAGTTCAGGTATAACAGTAATGCCAGCTCACACCTGGCCCCATCCACAGACCCCTTGAAGTGACTGAGATCACAGGGGTAGAAAGAGCTATGACCCAACCATAAACAGGGGTAGTTGCTATGACACTGAGGAGAGATGGGTGTTGTAGAGAGGTGCTTGGGCTGGGCCTTGTGCACAGACAACCCAGGTGGTTGTGGATTCATGAAGTACTAGGGAAGGTACTTCCAGCTGAAGCTTGAAATATCTTGCTTAATGGATGTTGTCTTCTGGTCCCAAGATGGTTGGGGAAAGCACTGTTGTGAGAGAATGCTAGTTAACTGTTGGGTGACTGACTCACTCATGCACACTCTTACTGGCTCACACTTGTCCAAATGTTTGGGCCTAGGGATTGGAAAATGCTGCAAGGTCAGACTTCATGGAGTAGATGCCATGATTCTACCTCCAGAAGCCATCTGCAATCTGATTGTGTACCTCTGCTCTTTTCTAGCTCCATATGTGACATACCTAAGTAAAGATCCCTCGGCCCCCTGCTCTCTGACGGATGCTCTGGATCATTTCCAAGTGGAGAGCCTGCATGAAATCATTCCCAATGATCTGAGGAAGAACGACTTGCCTCCCCAGACAGCCCCTCGCAACATCACCGTGGTCGCCATGGAAGGCTGCCACTCGTTTGTCATTGTAGACTGGGACAAAGCCACCCCCGGGGATGTGGTCACAGGTGTGTCTTGGGCAGATGCCCACACAATTTCCACTGATACGCAGGTAGTAAATATAGACCGTCAGGGGCGGATAGACGAATAAGTGGGTTCACAGATGGGTATGTTTGATGGAAAGGGCAGATGTCGCCTTCAATGGGGTGGAATATTGGCAAGCCTGAGAGTGGATGGAGTTGAGAGCCTGAGTCCTAGTCCCAGATGGGTTGAGTTGGCTACTTTATCTCCCTGGGCCTTGGCTTTCCCATATGCAAAAAATAATTCCATCTCTCACATCCTGCCACTCTGTAAATGGCCAGGAAGCCAGCTGAAAGGGTCAAGAAGGAGCTTCTACTGAATCCTGAATCTTCTGCTCACCCTCATTCCATCCTGCTGGATGCTTGCTGCGTAACCAGCTCGAGTACGCCCCAGTTCCTTATGGGGGAAGTGGAAGTGATGGCAGAATGTCCAAAGACTGAGCCTCCAGACCTTGGCTTATGAGATGTGTGTCAGTTCAAAACCCAGGCCTAAGGATCAGCAGACACGCCAGTTCCCCATACAGAAAGCTCCTGATTCTGACGGAAGCCGGAGGTCATCAGAGGAAGAAGAATTTTAGGGAGATAGCAGCAACTGTGTTAAGCTTCCCACCACTGTAATGCAATACTTGAGACAATTAACTTATAGATAGTAAAAGTTGGCTTTAGCCTCTAGTTTGGGACTTTTGAGTTCAAGACATGGTGGGCTCATTTCTTTAGGCCTCTCATGGGAGCTCCGGATGGGGGTGCTGGGGAATGTGTGGAGCAGCAACACTATTCATCTAATGCAAAGAAGAAAAAGAGGGAGAGCCCAAAGTCCCTTTGAAGGAATACCCCCAATGACTAAGGACCATGTGCATGTCCATCTCCTGAAGAATCCCAGGAAGGCCACTCTGGGAACCAAGCCTCTCACAAAGCTTCCTTTTGGGGAGAAATCATGTTTCCAAACCACAGTAGGAACATTTCATTGAATGACAATGAACATACTCATTGAACAGCAACAACAAAAAGACTCCCCTTCAGGAAACAACGTGGGAAGGAGGGGCTTCAGAGCCTAGTTTACCTGCCTTCTGGTACCAACATCCTTATTTATTATCTGGGGGACATTAATGGGTGATACAGGTTGCCAAGTGAAATAAAGGCTGCCTGTCCGAGGTATTTAGTGCCGTGGATCTTTTCCTCCTTCTCGACTTCTGTGGTCTAGTTCATGTCTTTCACATAGGTTAGCTCTCCCTACACTGCTCCTGGAGCCCCCATGGACTATTCCAGAAGGAGTCCCACTGCTCTTGACTTCTTGGTGATTAGTTTATCTCCCACTCTTAGTATCAAGTAACAGTTGCATGACAGGTAGTTATTGATTGAGTTAGTGGATGGAACTTAGACAAGGCATCTGTTCCATGACTACATTTTCTCATGTGTCTAAATGAGGTTAGCAAAACGTTCTCTCCCTGCAGTTCCCCCAGAGCTGCCTGTGCGCGCTGCTGCCCCTTCCCTGTGACACCTCTGGTGCAGTTTGGTTCCTTGATGCTCACTGGGTTCTTTCCTATTCCCATTTCCAGGGTACCTGGTCTACAGTGCATCCTATGAAGACTTCATTAGAAACAAGTGGTCCACTCAAACTTCATCGGTCACCCATTTGCCCATTGAGAACCTGAAGCCAAACACAAGGTATGGATGTCTGAAAACAAAAGAGATGATTGGGCATGTTCCCAGAGACCCTTTGCTTGAAAACAGAGGGTTAACCAATGCATTTTTTATGGTTTCCTTGAATCATCTGCATAGTTCTTATGGATGTCAGTGAATGCTAAACATTTGTCATTTTCACTTAGGAGAAATTACTATATATGTTGTAATGTTGTTATTGTGCTTATATCTTGTTCCTTATTATGGTAAACACTTCATGCCATCAAAGATAGAAGTGTTGAAGATTAAGTCACCAATGTGATCGGCACACTGGGGAGATGGGACATTAATGGAGCAGCAATTGCTAAATATTTTAAGTACTATGATATGGAAGTTCAGATCATTCTAGAATGGTACATTTCAATATGAATAAGGGTTACATAGCAATGATTCATGTAGGTAATCCTAGCTACTCAGGAGGCAGCGATCAGGAGGACTATAGTCCAAGGCCAGCCAGAGCAAAAACAATTAAGATCTTGATTTCAGTCAATGAGCTATGCATAATTGTGTGTACTTGTGATTCAACCACACGAGAGGACACAGGTAGGAGGATAATGGTCTGAAGCTGGCTCAGGCAAAAATGTGAGACCTCACCTGAAAAAATAAAGTTTAAAGGATGGGGATGGGGTTACAATGGTAGAACACCTGACCAGCAAGTATGAGTCCCTGAGTCAAAACCTCAGTACCACATAGCCAAAAGTAAGGGTCACAAGCTTGTCTTCATAAAGTGAGCAGTGGCTGGCTGGTGGGAGCACCGTGATGGAAGAGTTTGTAACATTCAGTGAGGAACAGGCACAACTGTTTCCTGTGGCTACAAAGAGGATGAGCTGTTATTCCTGGTTTGGGAAGTAGTGACCCTCAAACACCTTCCATGTGTGAACTGGCAGGTGCCTGTTCTCTGGCTCTCTGGAAAATGAAAATCTCTGGTTTATGCTGTTTTCCAATTCCTGTTATGTCACTATTCCACCACAGCCAATTTCAAGCTACAGGTCCTGCAGAATTCCCGAATAGACTGCAGATGGCTGTACCCCAGCATGGTTGCACAGACCCTACAGGCTTGCTTAGCAAATAGCTCAAAGTGGCAGGCGGGTGGGTCTGAGGACCAGATTGCTCTATACAGGCAGAGGAGCATGGAGAAGCCTGGAACAGACTCTTCCCATGAAACAGCCGTTTGCTGCAGAGCAGAGCATCTAGCCTTTGCCCCGGCACTGAGAGATTTCCGAGAATGCCCGAGAACTTTGCTCAGAGCATTGTAATGTACTGTATAGGCTCCCTATGATGGAGCAGTCATAAGTTGTTTAGAATTTCAGATTCGGCAAGCGAGTAGCAAAACAGAAAGTTGAGAAAGTACTTTATTTTTCCCTGGTAGCAATGAAGAATTGATTAGAGAAAACAAAAACGACAGGATGGGAGAGGCAGGATTAGCATTTGTTTTGTTGTGTGTAGAATGACAGAGCTGTGCTAGCCCAGCCACCCACTGCTTCAGAAGCTGAAGATGCGCCCAGAACTGTGTCACAAAACTGTGACAGAATTGGAATCCCATGCCTTCCAGAACTTGTGCTGCCCTACAGAAGGAAGTTAACTTTTGAAGAAAATTAGGTAGTGGTTCTGTGCAATGGTGGATTATTCGTCCTTGTAACAGGCATTGTTTTCCATATTAATTCACTAAACTCTTCCTGAGTGTTAACGTTGGACCAGGCACCACCTAAGGGGAATGCAAGGATGCAGGGTGATGTACTTGTGGCCCTCATAATCTGACAGTCCTGATTCATGAGCTGACAGTCCTGATTCATGATCTTACAGTCCTGACTCATGAGCTTACAGTCCTGTCCCCAGGAGCTTCCAGTCCTGTCCCCATGAACTTACTGTCTGGTAGAGGAGACAGATTCAATAAAAAAAAGAGTATAAATATGTCTACTTCCACTGGTCAGTATCAGTAGGAAACATAAGAAAATACTGGGACAGTTCCTACTTGAACTTTGCTGTTGTTGTTTTAGCCCGAGCCTGGGGTAGAAGAGAAAGTTAGGAGAACTTCCTGGGAGTGGGGGGAGTTAGATCTAAAACATAAGAAACAGTGAAGCTGCTGGGCTCTGGTGGATCATGTCTGTAATCCTAGCTACTCAGGAGGCTGAGATCTGAGGACTGTGGTTCAAAGCCAGCCTGGGCAGGAAAGTCCACAAGACTCTTATCACCAATAAACCACCAGAAAATGGGAAGTGGCGCTGTGGCTCAAAGCAATAGAGTGTTACCCTTGAGCTCTAGCCTTGAGCAAAAGAGCTCAGGGACAGCCCCCAGGCCCTGAGTTCTATTCTCACAACTGACAAAAAAAAGGGAAAGAAAATGAAAAAAGAAACAATGAAGCTGGAGAGAAGGTGTGAGAGGTAAGGCCAAATTGTTCCAAGAAGACACAGGAAGAAAAACAAGTTTCAAAAGGAGGTAAGCGAGGAGGGTGAGAGGAAGCTGGACAGACAGTGCGGGTTTCACCTCCACCATCCTCAACTTCCCAAGGTCAGATTCCTTCCCAGTTCTCTTCTGCTTCCCCCTAGAAGGCAGCCTTGTGCTCTTGGGGTAGGGTGTGCAGGCTAGGACACAGCATGTGTGGCTTTTCCTACTCCAGTCTCCTCAAAACCCTTGTGACAGTGGCTACACCATGTTATGACATGGAGCATTTCTTTCTCCTGCATTTCCTGGATGCAGATGTCCCTCTTGCTGAGGGAACATTTCCCTGATGGTCCATCCTGGAGCTTGGGCCTCGAACCCAGCCTGGGAGCCAGTAGGAGAGATAGGAAGTCAGTCTCTGTAGCATAGAAGCCAGTGCCTAAGAATCAGCTTTGGTGATTTGTGATTGAATCTTGTTTTTGACTTGAAGTGAACGGAATCTGCTTTATTCACTAAACTTAGCCCGATCCATCTTTGGGGGCTGTGTGCACCAAGTCCTTTCTTCCAGTACAGATTTGTTGCCTCTGAGAGTTTTCAAAAGAGGTGCCAACAGCTTACATAAGAAGGCAGGCCTTGCGGCTTGCATGAGACAGGCTTTATTCACAGTATAAAAGGCATATTTTAGGTGATGGAAAAAGTTGAATGTAGTTTTTGAAACTGAGAACTTCATTTTTCACTGTTTTGTGTTGCTCTCTACTCAACACACTCATGTTTACTTTGACACGGTAGGTGTGGTTCTCGTGGACAGGAGTCTAAGGATTTGGCATGCGTGGACTCTCTGAAGAACTAGGATCTTGTGTGAACAAGGAGAACTCCCCAGTGTCAGCGACAAACGAAGGCATCCCTGAGGTCCCTCAGCCTGTCCCAGAGTGACCCAGGAGTGCTTCTGTGGAGCTGGGACCAGGGGTTAGAACAGGTCCAGCAAGGGCTTAAGGAACTGACTAGGCAGTAGAAATGCCTCCATGTATGTAGCTTCTGAATATAAAAGCCAACCTTTATGCTTGTTTTCCCCTTCTTTAAGGAAAAAAAGTGTCTTTAAATTTTGGCCAGGGGCTAGGAAGGTGGCTCAGTGGTGGAGCACTTGCCTTGCATGCCTGAGGCCCTGGGTTCGATTCCTCAGCACCACATAAGCAGAAAAAAAGCCGGAAGTGGTGCTGTGGCTCAAGTGGTAGAGCGCTAGCCTTGAGCTGAAGAGCTGAGGGACAGCACCCAGGCCCAAGTTCAGGCCCCACGACCAGACCCCCCCAAAAAAATTTTGGCCAGGATTATTGACACGTGCCAAATACCCTGCTTGAACTTTTGGGTTAAATTACCCCACAGTCACTGATTAAGTTGTGAATAACTGCTGCGTGCCCGTGGCTCACATGTGTGATCCTAGCTACTCAGGAGGCTAAGATCTGAGTATTGCAATTCAAAGTCACCTCCCCAGGCAGGAAAGTCCCTGAGACTCTTATCTCCAATTAACCACGCAAAAGCTGGAAATGGCAGTGCGGCTTAAGTGGTAGAACACCAGCCTTGAGCAACAATGCAAGGGACAAATGACCAAGCCCTGAGTTCAAGCCCCAGGACCAGCACACACACACACACACACACACACACACACACACACACACACACACACACACACACACACACACACACACACACACACAAGTATGAGTAATTAGGAAGCACACAATGTTAAGATTTGGATACACAGATGTTCTTAATTGTGGGTGTCTTTTGAAAATTTTGAAATTAAAAAAGGAATACTCCCAAATAAGACAGGAATGACTTTATGAAGAGTAATTTTACCAAATGCTTTTCCTTTGCCAATTAGTCAAAGTTACGGGAAAATATCTGCTCACTGTGAGGCCAGGAGAGGCTCTGTGGAGCTACTGGCTCCACAGGCTTCAGGCTCTGGGCCCAGAAAGGTCAACAGGAATAACCTTTCCCCATTTTAAGTAGTGCATGAAATCTGGGTGCCTTACTTAACCAGATACAGAACTTTGGATGATTGAATTATGACACTCTTCCTAGCCAAGCCGGAGGAAAAGATTATAGTATGGAGAGCCGCTACGCTTATAAAAGGACATCCTAAGAGAGAGATGACATCTGGAATCCAGGGGTAAAGAAATCACAGTGAGTTCTAGCTCACTGCAGGGCCCCTGGACCTCTCTCACCAGCACTGTTATCCTGCAGCAGTACACAGCCACTTTTGAGACCCAGTCTCCCTCCAGATGAGCTAGCTGTCTCAGACAGTGTGCTTTCCAGAGCATCCTCTGTTCCAAAACCGTTTCTTCCCCAATCACTCTTCCACTACTCCTTTTCATCCCTTTAGACCCAGAAGCTCAAACCCCAGTGACTTGAAGGGTGTCCATTCTGGGCTCCAGAGTCAAGTACAGCACTTCTCAAGGAAGCCCAAGACAGCACTGTCTGATTAGTCCCAGTGAAGGTGCCAGCCTCCAGCCAGGTTCACCCTTTGCCTGCCAGGCATGAGTTCCACCATATGGGACTCAACATCCTGCTTTTCTGTATGGACTTCAGTGATGGGAGGATTGGGTTAAAATTTGAATTTGACTTTAAATTTGACGCTCTAACTTCTCTCTGTCAGGCTGTAGAGCTCAGCTGGGACCTGAGTCTTGAGCTGGAACAAGCAGGTGTCATCAGGAATCAGCAGAGGGGAGACAACCCAGACCAGGGGTCATCTGATGACCCACCTGTTTGTCTCATGTCCCTATTCTATTGCCAATACCATGTCATCTGTGCTATAACTTTATCAGCTCAAAAATTATTAAGATGAGAAAGTTCAGAAAAAATGCAAAGATCACTAGCGATTAAAATGAATTAGGATCTAAGCATGCCACAAAATCTTAAGTGTTCAGTAGCTTGAGTCTGCCTCATATACACAAGTCAAATAAATTTCTTTTTCAAAAGTGTTTTTCTTCCTATTTCAGATATTACTTTAAAGTTCAAGCCAGAAATCCTCATGGCTATGGACCAGTCAGTCCTTCGGTCTCATTCGTTACTGAATCAGGTATGAGTAGCTGCACTTTCTTCTTGTTTACCCTTTCTAAAGAGTAGAATCAAGCCTCCAAAATAATAACTACAGCTGAGTGAAAACTCAGTCAGATCTTTTCTTTTCCATTTGAGGAGTTTCGCTAAGGCCCTCTTTATAACATAAACATTCTTTCTTTCTGTTAGTATTTGTTGTAACTGTTGTCACATGGGCCGTGGTGCACAGGAACAAGGAGGGGTGGTGAGTCTAGCTGGCAAACGGTAACACAACAAAAATGCCTGGGCCTAGTCTTACCTCAGGTTCCCATATCTTGGATTCATATTCCCGGGAGCGCTGAAGAATCTAGTTGCTATGTTGTGAACTGCCCTGTGGACAGGGTCATGTGGCAAAAATTGAGAGCATCGATAGCCAGTGGAGGCCCTCTGTGAGGAACGGAATGCTGCCAATCACAGGAGCTTGGAAACTGAGCCTTCTCCAGCCCAGCCTTACATGAGAACCTCGTTTGGATCCATGGCTTGATTACAGCCCAACAATGGGCCTAGGTCTCACCTGGACTCCCGGGATGAGAAAACTTACTGATCAGTGCTAAAACAGATGTCCCAGAGCTCTGGAGTGGTTGAGGGCTGCCCCAGAACCTGGATTCTAGACACAGTGGACATCATTTGGATGCAGCTGGTTAGCTGACTACCCAGCTAACAGACTGACTTTATTCTGGAGCAGCATTTCTCTCCTATGATTATATGTCTGAATCCTCTGAGATCACCAGCCAGAGTGTGTGGAACATGTGCTATGGTAAGATTTCATTGAAATGTATAAAGAAGATGATCTCCACTGCCTCAAACTCCCTTTAGCCTAGGAAATATTTGCTATGCATGGCCTATGTGTGCTGTATGCAGCGTGACCAATGTACATGGAGAAGAGGCCCAGGCCTGTGATGTCCCTGCACCATCCAGACCCAGAGCAACTGGAAGAATAGGTTACATCAAGGCCGTTATGAACCCCAGTGACTTGTTGGTCAGAATACAAGTGCAAGCAAATATGGCCAGAACAATAGAGTTAATTCTGCATGGAGTGAAGACATGAAGACATTGGATGTGGCCAGCTAGTTGTATTCTTGATGCCACTTCCTGAAAGGATAGTTGGAAGTCTAGTGGAAACTCTGGTGACCATAGTTGTGTCATGGGTGTTTATAAAACTATACCATCCAAGCTGAGTGTTGGTGGCTCATGCCAGTAGTCCTAGCTACTCAGAAAGCTGAGATCTGAGGATCGCAGTTCAAAGCCAGCCTGGTCAGGAAAGGCTGTGAGACTCTTCTCTCCAATTAACCACCAGAAAACCAGAAGTGGCACTATGGCTTAAAGTGGTAGAGTGCTAGCCTTGAGCAAAGAGAGCTCAGGGACAATGCTTAGGCCTAAGCATTGTCCCTGAGCTCAAGCCCTACAACTAACCACCCCTCCCCCCCAAAAAACCCCCACAAAACGACATACATCCAGTAAAAGCAGGCCCGTCATGCCCCCAACCAAACTGGACAGGGTATTATGGGGAGGGGCTGTAGGAACTGCTTTTATTGTGACTCCACTCATTCTTCCTGGATCACTAATTTCTGGCCACGCCCCCTATTTTTCATGTTCTCTCTGACCAATAGGAATCAAGAATTGAGGCCACACCCACATTCCTTGCTGCCTAGTAGCATTGTTATTTCCTCAGTTGACTCATATCACTACCAGCAATTGAGGGAAGTAAAGGGGCTGAGTGGTAAGTGACCAGCCAGGTGCTGGTGGCTCATGGTTCATGAGATTCTTACCTGCCAGAATCACCAGAATCACCAAAAAGCCAGAAGTAGAGTTCTGTCTCAAGTGGTAGAATGATAGCTTTCAGCAGAAAAGCTCAGGGACAGTGACCAGGCCCTGAGTTCAAGCCAAGTGACCAGCACTTTAAAAAAGGGTTCTAATTCAAGAGCTCTCAAGAAACTCAGATTTGACTAGTGATGTATCTAAGCAGCGAAGCTCTCCCCTAGCATGTACCAGACTCTGAGTTTGATCCGTAACACCACAAAACTAAAGAGTGATAAAAATAAATCCAGATGTGCTAGCTCAACACCCGTCACCCCAGCCATGTGAGAATCATGAGTCAGACCGCAAGGCTGCCCGGGGCTTGTCAGCAGCAGCCATTTCTCTGCTCTGTCACTGTAGAGTAGTACTCACCCTCTAGAGCGTCCCCTGTCATCTGCAGTGTGTCCCATCGACTGGCTTCCTAGAGCAAAACCATGTGTCATCCCATCAATACTTCATTCTCTTTTATTATCACCTGTCAGGACAATTGGTGCTATTTCTACTTTGTGACTCTTACAAAGATACCAAAATGTTCATATCTAAATGTTGGCATGGACCTACATCTTACCTTGGATAAACACCCAAAAGTGAAGTGAATGGATTATATAGTAGATGATCTGTACTCTTTTAGGAAGCTAACACATTGTTCTTTAAATATAGAATTTATTAAAAATGAAAAGGTATCAAACTATTTTGTAGCATCCAATATTACAACTTTATCATTTTCAGAATCCCACAGCTTTTATGTGAATAAGGCAGCTAGCAAGAAATGAGTATTCCTCTAAAAGAAATGCCCAGAAAATTAAAACAAGAAAACCTTTGACAGTTAAGAAATAAGCCTCACTTCTATTCTTCCATTTATTTTCTCCCACATGTGCATAATTTGTGAAGTACGGTCCAAAGTAATTTTTTTATTCTTTTCATTTCACAGACAATCCTCTGCTCGTAGTGAGGCCCCCAGGTAAGTGTCTCATCCTAAGGATTTTGGCATCCTGGTTTATCAGGTTGAATATGGGAGGTGAGGTTGCTGTGATTACTCACAGGTAGAAATTCTGGGCCATTTTTGAATTTTCATAGTTTTATGACAACTTCTACCCATTCTCCATCTACCCTCCATCTTGATCTATGGAACAAAATGACCTGGAAATGTAATAGGACCCTTGTGGATAATATTTGTGAAAACCCATGATGGAGGTAGCCAACATGCATAAAATAGATATTTATTTGCACAACCCTTGTGAGTACTCTCAGTTGGTGAAACAATGGCAAGATGAATTAAGTGTCCAATTGCTTAAGCTCAAGACTGACTTTGTAAATGACAAGAGAACGGGAGTCTACGGTGCGGGGCTTGTGGCAGGATGGCATGCTCCAAAAGATCAAATCTGCTGTGACAGCTGGTTTCCCTGTGAAGCTTAGGTCTTAATACCAAACATTCCTTGATGAAATCCAAATACTGTCAACATGCTCAGGTAAAAGGAATTCACAAGTTGTACTGCAGAACTCAAACAGGAGAGTGAAGAGGGGAGGCTCAGCAAATAGGTTAAGCTGTGACACTGCAAGAATGATGATAGGCCACGGGAGGCTGCATAACCTAGAGCTGTATTTTTTGTTGTCAAGGTGGTGAGCCCATCTGGATTCCATTTGCTTTCAAACACGACCCGGGCTACACAGACTGCCACGGTCGGCAATATGTGAAACGGACGTGGTATAAAAAGTTTGTGGGAGTCGTTCTTTGCAATTCACTGAGATATAAGATCTACCTCAGTGACAACTTGAAAGGTAGGTCCATGAGGACGGTGGCCACACGGGTATGGAGAAGTCTGGTTTTATCAGACACAAGCTTGACAGAGAAGGTGCATAGAGTTGAAGCCTGGACCTGTCATCATTCAAACACTAACCAGTTTCACAGGCTCTACCATAAGGTTGTTACTTCTGACCTTGGTATTCCTCTGTGTGTGTGTGTGTGTGTGTGTGTGTGTGTGTGTGTGTGTGTGTGTGTGTGTGTGTGTATTTTAAATTCACTTACTTTGGGAGGAAAGTCTGAAATTCAGTTAGAAACTTAAAAGACTGTTTTATTGGTTATTAATTCAATAACAACTGGGAGAACTGAGGAAACCACCCCCTCCATCACCACCACCATCACCACTTAATAAAGAAAAAAATGCAGATTGTGAATGAATGTTAGCCATGCTGCTTGCTCTGTCAGAATTAAAATCACCTCATTTTCAGCACGGTTGGGGATTCAAACAAAGAAAGACACAAGAACCTTGGACTCCTAACACTTTAAAAATTCATTTTCTGGCCAGTTGGTTTTAACTCATCTATTCCAATTTGTTTTGGTAGTTTGCTCTTGTATAAGTAAGGGGGCTTGAACTCAGGGTCTTCATCTCCAACTCACTTGGCTCTTTTTACTCATGGTTGATGCACTACTATTTGAGCTACAGCTCCAGTTCTGACTTTCTATAGGTTCATTGAAGAGAAGACTTTCAAGGACTTGTATGCCTAAGCTGTCTTTGAGCCCTGATCCTCAGATGTCAGCCTCCTGAGTAGCAAAGATTACAGGAGTGAGCCACTGGTGTCCAGCTTTAGCATGTTTCATATTTCAAAACAACATAGCTATTCATTTTTTAGTTGATAATCTTTTATATTTCCTTTTGACCATTCTGTATTTTATTATGTCATTTTTATTTGTTTACCCTCTTAAGATATCACTTTTAGTAGGGATCATTTCAAGACAATGTCAAAATACTGTCTCCCTTCCCCTTTCTTGCTCTGACAATTTCTACAAATCTGCCTTTCTCCCAAACTTCTGGAATTTTCTCTCTGCTGTTGCCTGTATCTTCCAACTGTGTCCTTCTGTTTCAACATCTCTGAGAGAGGTCACACATCCTCTCTGGTTCCCACGGTGGGAGACATAATTTTGCCATCCTGTGCTGTAGTGGTTCAGGACCACGGACAGCACCTTCTGCTACAGATTTGTGCCCTCTCATGTATAAAACTATACATCTGCGGATTTATTACAGTGAAACTCCCTCATAGTATACATGTTTGCTAAGTCAAAAATTTAATTTGAAAATGAACATAATGCAATCAGCCAATTCTAAAAAAGGGTTTTTTCCTTTTTGTATAGACCTGTTTACTTGTTTCTCACAATTATTTGATTATATATTTTCTATCCCAGTTTTCTCTATTCCTTTGGCAAAACTAAGGAACAAGTCCTTCATGTATAGACTAGAACTGCCAATGTGTCACTCATGGTTTCTCCCTTCTGACCATTGCTTAAATATTTAGGATATACCATCTTGCTGAATCCTTACAATGCTTACTGATATTGTGCCATTTTAACCATTTTTTTTTAATGTGTGAAACAGGCTACTTAAGTAATGTGCCCAACTGTAATGGTCCTCAAAGCTTGTTCCAGCTTCCAAGCCAGATGCAAGTGACATACTTCACTAGTCATTCACTGTCATATTCCTTTATGTAGACACATTCTACAGCATTGGAGATAGCTGGGGAAGAGGGGAAGACCACTGCCAGTTTGTGGATTCGCACCTTGATGGACGCACAGGGCCTCAGTCCTATATAGAAGCGCTCCCTACCATCCAAGGTAAATATGAACACATGCTGACTCTGTTCTGCTGAGGATAGAAGAGGAGGGAATAACAGAAGGACAGGATTCATCGTAGCTTCTCCTTGTTTTGTCATTTGAAGATGGATGTTCGGAATGTTTTAGGTCCTAAAAAATAAAAATAAGAAGTCAAAAAATCTAGAATAATATTGGATCAGATACCTAACCTAGCCTACTTGACTATCACAACAAATATACACAATATATCATAATTTTCCAGGCTCTTATAGCTACCCTGAGCTACAGTTACATGCCTATATTGTCTGTACCCTACTGTGTTTCTTTGCCTGTGATCATGGCCTGAGTCTTAGAAGCTGGTTAATCAGTAGCGTCATTGGTAGTATCACAAGGAGCCATTTATTTGGCATGACTAAATAGGCCAAGCCTGAGAGCAGTTGTTGAGTTGAAACATTGTGGGTAGGTTGGAGCATCATGTCTATTTCAATGGTGAAGTGGTATTAATGCCACAGGATTATTTCCTGTGAGAGATACCCTTGAAAGATCTAAAAGTCCAACCCAAGTCCTGATCATCAAACTATAGGGTTTTGAAGTTCTGGCATATTGGAGGCCTTAAGCTCCATGAGAGGCAAGTGTGAATCCTACTCAGTTTTATTTACAGAGCTCAGGGGCTGCCCCAAGGTGAGAGTGCACTGGTGATTGGCTTAGGCTACCTTGTTTGTTGAGGAGAGAGAAATAGAGCAATTAGATCACCTCCTACTGACCCTGCCTGAGGTAAACCTCAGGCTACGGTGAGCCCCTCCCACCCAGTGGCTCTGCTTATTTAGAAGTAAGAACAGTTTGCCAGAGGGCTTTGGTCTGGAGGGAGATTGGAAGGATGCAGACTTTGCCTGACAATCATTTTAATGCACCTTGTTCCCCTCTTATTCCCATCACCCTTCCAGGATACTATCGCCAGTATCGCCAGGAGCCCGTCAGCTTTGGCCACATTGGTTTTGGAACCCCCTACTACTATGTGGGCTGGTATGAGTGTGGGGTCTCCATCCCAGGAAAGTGGTGACCACAGGACTGTCCGCTTCAGGTTCGCCCACACAGCCATGTTGACTATTTTGCACTTGGGGCCATGAGCAGGGGAAAGACAGTGTCCCCAGCCCTGCTGGCCCCCATCTCAGGAGTCCATCCCACAGGTGCACTCTGGACATCACGGACATCTTCAGCCTAGAGCTCAGTCCCACTTGGTCTGGACTACAAACAAGATTCAGTTTTGCTGAGATATTGCTTTTCCACAGTTTTTTTCCCTACAGTTCTTTTTGTCTGTTTGTTTGCAACTGCATACGCTAGAGCCATCTGACACCGGCTGCTGATCCTGTGTGAAGACCAGAGTCTAGACACAGAATCCCTACACTCCAGCATCTTCAAGGAGCAGGATGAGCATGCAAGGCTTGCTTTATTGAGCACTGTCTATTTTTCTCATTTTCAACTCCTCCAAAGTCAGCTGAACTTGAGCTTCAATCTCAAACTCAATCTTGGTATGCAGTGGAATTGAATTTCTGAAATCATAGTCAAAGACACTACAGGACATTAGACTAAATGCATCGGGTTTTATTTGTAAATTCTCAATTTTGATATATATATGTATATATGCATATACATATCCACACTTCTCTGCAAGAATACTGATTAAAATCGTTGAATTTTTACTTGTCCACTTGATGAAAGTGTGTCCAGGTTTTTGGACAAAGATGTTTACTATCATTGCTTTGGAGTGGTGTAGGTGTTAGACACTCTGTATAATGTAGCATCAAAACAAAGGTTCACATTCTTCCTGTAAATGCTGCAGGACTCTGGCAAGTATTTCCTTCTTAGGGAGACAGTCTTTATCCATGAGGAAAATGCCTTTCTGGACTCTTGAGGTACATATAGTATGTTTCCAGATGTGTTCAGATTTTAGGTCCCCAGTGACTTAAAAATCTTGTTTATAAAAATTCCATTTCACTTCCAGCAAAAAGGTGATCATTAAGAAAATCGACCACAAAAAATACTTGTGAAGATACAGGGTAAAAGGAGCCCTCATACACTTGGTGAGAATAGAAGCTAGTACAGCCACTATGGAAATCTGTTCGGAGGTTCTTCAACAAACCTAAAACCTACCTGTGTCCATTGCCACTCTTGGACAAATATCTGAAGGAGTATCAATCCACATACAAGAAATACCCACACCTCCATGTTTATCACAGCATTAGTCACAGTAACCATACTGTTTATAGTAACAACATGGAGTCTTACTCAGCTATGAAGAAGAATGAAATTAATATCCTTTGCAGGAATGGATGGAACTGGAGACATCATGTTGAACGAGATAAGCCAAGCTCAAAAAACCAAATATCCCATGTTTACATTCACATGTGGAATCTAAAAGGATGATGATGAAGATGTTGATGATGATGATGATGATAGTAATAAAACATGAGTGTAAATGAACTTTCTGAGTGGAAGATAAACAGGATGGGGTGGGGGAGTGGAGTCAGTAGTGGGTAGGAATGAGGAATATTGAATGATAGTATACATACATATGTATGTACATATATATGGGTATACATGAGCTATACCTGTATATATCATAAAGATATATACAGCATAATCCAACCAAATACAGGAAATAAAAACAGGCAGAGAATGCAGTAGAGAGGGTGAGCTTGTTCAAAGTACATTCTATGTGACTATGGAATTATCACAAGTCCTGGAGTCCAACTGCCAGAGATCCTGGGTTCTGATACATCCCAGCTCCAGGAGAAGGGAGATTTTTCCTTTTGTCTAGTTAGATTCTGGCAGGACTCCGTCTGATTAAATGATGCCCACCACACTGAGGGTGGAACTTCCCCTCATACCAACTACCACCCCAGCTTCCTCGGGAAACCCTCACAAACATGTCTCTGTAACCACTGCCAATTCTCCAGGTAATTATTAACCCAGTCACGTTTGCAATGGAAATGAACCACCACACAGTATTACTGGCAGCATTCTGTTCAAATGAGTCTCTGGTGTTCAAATCAAAACTTTGGAACTGCTAATTCTGGAAGCTGTGTTTTACAAAGGGCATTGGCAGCAACATGAGATTGAATATAAAGGGTGTGGAGGCAATTTCATGGCAGGTCGGATGGCCTTGAGAGGAGGTTCTGTTAAAGACAGGGTACTTCACCTCTCACAAAGCTGCTGAGCAGGAGAGCTTGACAACTCTACTAAGGTCAGAAGCAGATCCACATAGCAATTACAGGAGGAATGCTGAGGGACAAAGACTTTTAGGACAATTCAACCATCAAATGAGCTTGGAAAGTGATGAGATGTCCATCCCTGAGAAATTTTAAATATATCCTGGAATGCCTAATCCAGCTCAAAGTTCTATGTCATTTGGTCTATGAGACCAGAATGGTTTCTACACAAAGTACTGTGAACAATGCAAACAAGACATATTGTTTTAAAAAAATTAGCATGGAAATAGAGACCATATGTGGCTATTCCTTTAATAAAATGTTCACACAGTTAGGAGCTTAATCTTTCTTGAGGTTTAAAGAAGGTTTAAATTAATTCCTAATTTTCAGATAAGTACATGTTGCTTAATAGTTGTTTCCTCTCTTCTCTCTTATTTAAATGATATGCATTTTCTGAGCATTGTCTCCCTGTTCCCCAAACCTGAACTCCTGGGTTCCTGAGCTTCTGGCTTTGCAATCACTGTGTTTGTGTTGTCTCAGGACTATTACACTCTTTAGGCAGCTTCATGCATATTGAATGTGACCATATTTAATATTCATATAACCATTATGCTAAACCTAATTTTCAGGGTTTGCCACATGATATTTTTCTCCTTTGAGCCACTGAAGCCACACATCTGAGCCACTTCTGGTGGATGAACAACTGGAAAGTATGAGGAGAAATGAGGTCAGGTGGGCTGGCCACCCTCAGCATGGAAAAAAATTCATAGTTATACATAATTTCAGAACTTTCCCACTCATCGTCAGCTCAGGTTTCTGGAACCTCATTCATGTTATGATACTATAACATTGTCTCCAAAACCTGCAGCTGTTTTGCAATTCACCTACTTCTGCCCCCATGCCTCCTCCACTGGGCACCAGCCGATCACAGAGTAGGTACTTGACAAATACTTGTCAATGGGGGCATGTATGGCCAAGACATACAGCCATTGAAAAGACCAAGCGTTTCAACCTAAGAAGTCGGTGAAGCAGAAGGTGCCAGCCCTTCTCCAGCTCCCAGTTCCTTGCAGGTCTTCAAATGTCCCTGTGGTCCTCCAGCTCCACTCCCTGCTACCCACACGACCACTCTTGCTTCTGCTCTCGATTTTAGGAGATAACTTCCCAGCACAATGCAAAATGGAATGGCAACACAGATACATGTGGAATATTTTTTAAAAATAGTTTTAGCTGGTCGCTGGTGGCACATACCTGTAATCCTAACTACTCAGAGGCTGAGATCTGAGGATCATGGTTCAAAGCCAGCCTGGGCAGAAAAGTCTGTCAGACTCTATCTCTAATTAACCACTAGAAAAACTGAAGTGATGCTGTGGCTCAAGTGGTAGAGCGCTAGCCTTGAGCTGAAGACCTGAGGGACAGCGCTCATGCCCAGAGTTCAAGACCCATGACTGACAAAAAAAATAGTTTAAAATATTTGTTTATCTTTAGTTGTGCAAAGGAGTTACCATTCAGCAACGCAGTTTATAAATACAACAAATCTTGATCAGCACCCCCTCTTCTATCATTCTCCCCATCCCTCCCAATCCCATCTCTTCCCCTTCCTCTTCTGTCATTCTCCCCATCCCTCCCAATCCCATCTCTTCCCCTTCCTCTTCTGTCATTCTCCCCATCCCTCCCAGTCCCATCTCTTCCCCTTCCTCTTCTGTCATTCTCCCCACCCCTCCCAATCCCATCTCTTCCCCTTCCTCTTCTGTCATTCTCCCCATCCCTCCCAATCCCATCTCTTCCCCTTCCTCTTCTGTCATTCTCCCCATCCCTCCCAATCCCATCTCTTCCCCTTCCTCTTCTGTCATTCTCCCCATCCCTCCCAATCCCATCTCTTCCCCTTCCTCTTCTGTCATTCTCCCCATCCCTCCCAATCCCATCTCTTCCCCTTCCTCTTCTGTCATTCTCCCCATCCCTCCCAGTCCCATCTCTTCCCCTTCCTCTTCTATCATTCTCCCCATCCCTCCCAGTCCCATCTCTTCCCCTTCCTCTTCTATCATTCTCCCCATCCCTCCCAGTCCCATCTCTTCCCCTTCCTCTTCTGTCATTCTCCCCATCCCTCCCAGTCCCATCTCTTCCCCTTCCTCTTCTGTCATTCTCCCCATCCCTCCCAGTCCCATCTCTTCCCCTTCCTCTTCTGTCATTCTCCCCATCCCTCCCAGTCCCATCTCTTCCCCTTCCTCTTCTGTCATTCTCCCCATCCCTCCCAGTCCCATCTCTTCCCCTTCCTCTTCTGTCATTCTCCCCATCCCTCCCAGTCCCATCTCTTCCCCTTCCTCTTCTGTCATTCTCCCCATCCCTCCCAGTCCCATCTCTTCCCCTTCCTCTTCTATCATTCTCCCCACCCCTCCCAGTCCCATCTCTTCCCCTTCCTCTTCTGTCATTCTCCCCACCCCTCCCAGTCCCATCTCTTCCCCTTCCTCTTCTATCATTCTCCCCATCCCTCCCAGTCCCATCTCTTCCCCTTCCTCTTCTGTCATTCTCCCCATCCCTCCCAGTCCCATCTCTTCCCCTTCCTCTTATTGAGCTCTGGCTGAGACTGACACACTCAATGCTCTGAGTGTCTCATAGTTCTCTCCCAATAGCCAGACTTCCCCGGCCTTGCCCCTCATTTCAGGCATCCTGTGGCTGCCTGGTCCTTTGCCTTGTCTTTCCCTGTGTCCGGCCCCACGGCCCCACGGCCCTGGGGCCCACGCTCACTCTGCTCTCCGGGCTCCCTGATCACTCATGGTGCTTCCTCCAGAGACACTGGTGTCATCCCACCCCCGCCCTTCCCCACTCCACAGGGGCTGAGGCAGAAAGGCCTCTGCCCTCAGGAGGCTTGGAGACTTGTTCAGTGGGCTCAGAGTTGGACAGCATTCACTTCTCACGCATGAAGCAAGTGGCAGCTGAATCCAACGTATTTCCAGACACACTCTCAGACACTGCATCTGTAGGATGGTCAAAACATACACAGCCATTTCCGTACAGAGGGCATACGCTAGAGCGCACAGGCTGAACACCAGCACTAGGGTGTCGGGTGGTGAGAGGGGGCAGATGCACGTGCTATGTGGAGAGAAAACAGTGGAGTACATCAAATGCGGCTGCTTGGAGAAGTTAGGATACCAGATGGCTGCAGAGAACCAAGGCCAAGAAACCTGAAGGAGGACCAAGGTCAAAGGGTTCCGGTGAAATTTCAGGCTTGACTTTGGAATGTGAGAGTTTAACAATGCCTATCACCTGCCCTTGATCTCAGTGGGAACAAGCCTTCAAGTCCCTTAAATTTGAATCTCTGGAAGGAAAGAGTCCGGGGAATGTTCCACTCAAGGAGTAACTCCAACCCAAATTTTCCCATCGAGGTAGTCATCTAAAGCTCAGACACAGCAGGGGAGGAGAGAGCCAAAACCCTAGCATAGTACACAGGGCCTGGCCCATAGCAGGAAACTTGAAT